AACTAATTTTTTACTATAATTCTCATATAAATCAATTATTAGGCTTTTTAAGTGTTTATCTTGAACTGATGCAATATTAAATGTTAGGCAGAACAAATTTGGTATGAAAATTTGTTTTATAAATTATTATAAGACCCTAAGAATGCATATAATTTAGGAAAAATTCTATAAAGTTTTCATTTGATTTGAAATATCGACAATATATAGAAATGAAGGCATTTTTGTTTAAAGTTAGCATTTTATGGATGTTAAGCAGCCTATATGTAATTTTTATTGCAATAACAACAGCTGTAGGTTAAAATCAAATCTTTATATTAAAACAAATTTAATTTTAAAATTTCTTTTCACAGTCCAAGTCACCGAGTTCTCCCATTGTATCTGGTAGACAGGCTGCACTAGGCCAATTTCCCTGGCATGTTCTTATAAGAAGAAATCGCCATGATCAAGTGTTGGGTGGTGGTTCTATAATTTCAAATAAGTTTGTTTTAACAGCTGCTCATGTACTTAATAACTTGACATCCGTTTACTTAAACTTCGGCATCGTTAGTCGTCAACATCGTGGAGTTTATATGACCTCTTCAAGATTAATTATACATCCCGAATTCTATTACAATAATCTTACTGATGATATTGCGTTAATTGAACTACCCGAACCATAAATTTTACCAACAATATACAACTATTGAATTGGTAACATTAGCACAGGCTTCAAATGGTTCGTTGGTGATGAAGCTGTAATTACAGTTTTGGTCAAGCATTCAATATAGCCAATCGATTTTCCATGCACTTATTATGGGCATCTGTAAAAATTATCAGTAATGCCGATGTGCAGTTGCGTTCATTCACCCAGTATTGAGGATACAGTTATGTGTTCTGTGGGTTCTGATGATAGAGATACGTCTCCTTGTGATGGCGATTCGGGTGGTCCCTTTAGTTTGGAAAATTGAACACGAAAGTTTGTACAAATCGGCATTACTTTCTTTTTTCCATTGCCTAATCATTTGTTCGGAATATCCTGCCGTTGATACTAGAAGGTTGATAAGTACTGGAATTATATCGAGTAATAAAGGGAAGTGGTATAATTCGGATGGATGGGGGAGAAGGGAAAGAAGAAGGAAGAGAACGGGAAGAAGGGGGCTAAGGGGAGGGGAAAACGAGTAGCGAGAGAGAGAGAGAGAGAGCGAGCGAGCGAGCGAGCGAGCGAGCGAGCGAGCGAGCAGCGAGCGAGCGAGCGAGCGAGCGAGCGAGCGAGCGAGCGAGCGAAGAGCGAGAGAGAGAGCGAGGAGCGAGCGAGGAGCGAGCGAGCGAGCGAGCGAGCGAGAGCGAGCGAGCGAGCGAGCGAGCGAGCGAGAGAGCGAGCGAGCGAGCGAGCGAGCGAGCGAGAGAGCGAGCGACCGGGCACGAGCGAGCGAGCGAGCGAGCGAGCGAGCGAGCGAGCGAGCGAGCGAGCGAGCGAGCGAGCGAGCGAGCGACCGGGCGACCGAGCGAGCGAGCGAGCGAGCGAGCGAGCGAGCGAGCGAGCGAGCGAGCGAGCGAGCGAGAGAGCGAGAGCGAGGAGCGAGAGAGAGAGCGACGAGCGAGCGAGCGAGCGAGCGAGCGAGCGAGCGAGCGAGCGAGGAGCGAGAGAGAGAGCGAGCGAGGAGCGAGCGAGCGAGCGAGAAGGAGCGAGCGAGCAGCGAGCGAGCGAGAGCGAGCCGAGCGAGCGAGCGAGCGAGCGAGGAGCGAGGAGCGAGCGAGCGAGCGAGCGACGAGCGAGCGAGCGAGCGAGCGAGCGAGCGAGCGAGCGAGCGAGCGAGCGAGCGATGCGAGCGAGAGCGAGCGAGCGAGCGAGCGAGCGAGCGAGAGAGAGCGAGCGAGCGGACGAGCGAGCAGCGAGCGAGCGAGAGAGCGAGCGAGCGAGCGAGCGAGCGAGCGCGAGCGAGAGAGCGAGGAGCGAGCGAGCGAGCGAGCGAGGAGCTATCGAGCGAGATAGAGCTATCGAGCGAGCGAGCGAGAGAGCTATCTATCTATCTATCTAGATCTATCGATCTATATATCTATCTATCGATCTATCTATCTATCTATCTATCTATCTATCTATCTATCTATCTAGATACAATACATATAAATAATATCGAAGAAGTATTGAAGATTTGTATCAACACATATATAAATATTATATACTTTATATAGTCGAAAATTTATATTAAAGAAATTACCGACAGAACTACATAGTTATATATTCATGTTCTCAAGAAGGTAAAGGGTATAAAAATGCCTAACGAATCAATTCTATAAGGGGACTTAATAAAAAATTTTATAAAAATTAAGTTTTGCTTAAAGTAAAACATAATAAATGTTTACATTAGTTCATTAAATAAGTAATTATAAGTTGTTAAGAATGAAGGGACTTTTAACTAAAGTGGTTACTTTAGGGATTATAAACCAGATATATCTAAATGCTGAAGAGGTTAGCTTAAAAAAGTATAAAATTATTTTAAAAACAAACTTTAATTCGACAACGTTTACTTTCGCAGTTCAATTCTCAAAATGTTGCTATTATATCGGGTCAGCGAGCCCAAATCGGACAATTTCCATGGCATGTTCTGTTATGGTTAGGCGAAATAGACTACGAAAGAGGGATATGTGGCGGTTCTATTATATCCAATAATTGGGTTTTAACAACTGCCGGCTGTGTTTATGAAAGTTATTCAGTGGATTTGGTATTTGGAACCATAGAGCTGAACAAAAATAATATAACAATGACCTCTACAGTTATAATTATACATCCTGAATTTAATAGGGAAGTTTTGACAAATAATATAGCATTAATTGAACTACCTACGACGTTGGAGTTTTCAGATATTATACAACCCATTCAATTGATGTCTTTGGCAGAGATTTCAAGAAATTTTACTGGCGTTGAAGTCATTATAACTGGTTTTGGTCGGTCAGAACAAAAAATCCAAATTTTTCCCATTGGTTATTATGGACATCTTTAGAAATTATCGATATAACTACATGTTCTAAGTCGTACGATACACCAGTTTCCGAAACAGAATTGTGTGCGCATGGTTTAGGTGGTTTCGATTCGTCTGCATGCGATGGCGATGCTGGTAGTGCATTAGTTTGGAAGAATAATTTTGAACGTCTTATACAGATTGGCATATTTTCGTATACAAAGCTTAATCAATGTTTGTTATTTCCAAATGTTTTTACTAAAGTGACACCTTATTTAAGATTTATTCGCAATATCACGGGTTTACATTTTGAATAAAAAAAACCTAAATTTAAGGAACTATGGTAATGCAATGTTAAAACAATAATAATAAAAATTGTTAATAAAAAATGGTGGACCGCCCAATCTTAAATATATGTCTGTTATAATACATTGTATGCCAATATCTGGGTACCTATAACAGCTATAATTAAATTTTGTGTAAGTAATGGGCGGGGCACCTCCCATATTAAAATAATACTTATATTAAGAAGACTTTGATATTGATAGATAGATAGATAGATAGATAGATAGATAGATAGATAGATAGATAGATAGATAGATAGATAGATAGATAGATAGATAGATAGATAGATAGATAGATAGATAGATAGATAGATAGATAGATAGATAGATAGATAGCCTATACTACACCCAAAACAAATTGTTTATTATGAGTTCTTTGATACCTGAGAAACAGATTTCATATAATGATTTCGTTTAGATAGACTTTTTTTCTTCCTATGACTCAAAGTAGTCCCTTTGGACTTATAAAACATTCAAAATCCTAACACAAGGCAAGGTTTTCTCAAATATATTAAACGAAACCGAAACAATGTTTAAAATATGTGGAAGTTTAATTACTTCTACCAAAATGGGTTTTAACAGCGGCCCATTGTATTTATAAAATTGATAAACTTTTCTTGGGATTTTGAACCATAGCGCTGCACAATAGTCCAATTAATATGACCTATAGCCTACAGTCCAGTCTATAATGTAGTCTATAGTCTAATATATAGTCTAGTCTACAGTCTAGTCTATAGTGTAGCCTATAGTGTAGTCTATTGCCTACTCTATAGTCTAGTCTATAGTCTAATCTACAGTCTAGTCTATAGTCTAGTCTATAGTGTAGTCTATAGTGTAGTCTATAGTGTAGTCTATAGTATAGTCTATAGTCAGTCTATAGTCTAGTCTATAGTCTAGTCTATAGTCCAGTATATAGTCTAGCCTATAGTCCAGTCCATAGTCTAGTCTAGTCTATAGTGTAATATATAGTCTAGTCTATAGTATAGTCTATAGCCTAGTCTTTAATCTAGTCTATAGTCAAGTTGATAGTCTAGTCCATAGTCAAGTCTAGTCTTCATTTTATTCAATACAAAGCCTATAAGGGCCTTTAAGGTAAGTATTTAAAGAATTTATAAATATATATATATATATATACATACGTATATACATATATATATATATACAATCGATAAATGAAATTATAGCAAATCTTTTAAAATTTCTAATTATATAAAGATAGTGACTAGAAAAATTGGCTATGGAAACCCATTTTATACCGGGAGAATGCTTAACGAATCAATTGGATAACGGGAATTATGTCAATTATATAAAAAGGAAACATAAAGAAAATAGGCATTAGTCTATTTATTATAATAACAAAGGAACTAATAATTTTCTACCATGAAAAGTTTTTCGGCTAAACTGGTTATTTTATTGATTATATACCAGATATATCAAAGCACTGCAGATGTAAGTTTTTAAAAACATGGAAAGAAATACATACATATATACTAATTTGAGAATAATTTGGTTTTATAGTCCGATGTCACGAATGAGGTGAGTTTTTAAAGAAATGTGGAATGAAATATATAGGTTAGGTTAGGTTAGGAAATAAAGAAAATAGTGATGAAAGTGAGCACTTTATAGATCTCTATATGTAAACAATATTTCAACAATATCAGCTGTAAGTTGTAAACGACCATTGAAAACAACTAAATAAATTTTAACAATTTATTTCGCAGTCCATTCCCCAGAGTGCAGCCATTGTAAATGGTAAGCTGGCTGAAGAAGGCGAATTTCCCTGGCATGTTCTTTTGATATTAAACGAAACCGAAACAATGTTTAAGATATGTGGAGGTTCGATTATTTCTAATAAATGGGTTTTAACAGCAGCCCATTGTATTTATAATATTGATAAACTCTTCTTGGGATTTGGAACTATAGCGCTGCACAATAGTCCAATTAATATGACCTCTACTAAATTTTTTATACATCCCGATTTCACAAAAAATTTTATTGATAATGATATAGGTCTAGTTGAACTACCAACACCTTTAGATTTTACCCCCAACATACAACCCATTAATTTGGTGTCGACAGCGGATATTTCAAATGACTTTGTTGGCGCTAAAGCTATAATAAGTGGTTTTGGTCAGTTAAAAAATAAAGTATATGAATATTCTTCTTGGTTACAATGGACAACGGTAGAAATTATCAGTAACACGATATGTGCTGAGCTGTTCAATGAACCAATAGATAATAACTTTTTGTGTGGTAGGGGTTGGGAAGGTGCACAATCGGGACCATGTGATGGTGATTCTGGTGGTGCTCTAGTTACGATGAGCGAATCTAATAAGCTTATACAAATTGGCGTATTGTCTTTTTCAAAAGAAGACAATTGTTCAATATATCCTGCCGGTTATAGTAGAGTAACATCGTATTTGGGTTGGATTCATGATGTTACTGGTTTAAATAATAATTAATAAATAAAACAATATTGACAATATTAGTTAAAAAACCTCCAACATGTATTATTTTTTTAACAACATTCAAGACTATATACAACATACTTCACGATATACTATACTATAGACTAGACTAGACAATAGACTTCACTATAGCCTAATCTATAGCCTAGTCTATAATCTAGTCTATAGTCGAGTCTATAGTCGAGTCTATAGTCGAGTCTATAGTCTAGTCTATAGTCCAGTCTATATTGTAGTCTATAGTCTAGTCTATAGTCTACTCTGGTCTAGTCTACAGTCTAGTCTATAGTCAGTCTAACGTCTAGTCTATAGTCTAGTGTATAGTCTAGTCTAGTCTATAGTCTAGTCTATAGTCTAGTCTATAGTCTAGTCTATAGTCTAGTCTATAGTCTAGTCTATAGTCTAGTCTAGTCTAGTCTATAGTCTAGTCTAGTCTAGTCTAGTCTGTAGTCTAGTCTATAGTCTTGTCTATAGTCTAGTCTAGTCTATAGTCTAGTCTATAGTCTAGTCTAGTCTATAGTCTAGTCTAGTCTAGTCTATAGTCTAGTCTAGTCTATAGTCTAGTCTAGTCTAGTCTATAGTCTAGTCTATAGTCTAGTCTATAGTCTAGTCTATAGTCTAGTCTATAATCTAGTCTATAGTCTAGTCTATAGTCTAGTCTATAGTCTAGTCTATAGTCTAGTCTATAGTCTAGTCTATAGTCTAGTCTAGTCTATAGTCTAGTCTAGTCTATAGTCTAGTCTAGTCTATAGTCTAGTCTAGTCTATAGTCTAGTCTAGTCTAGACCATAGACTAGACTATAGACTAGACTAAAGACTAGACTACAGTCTAGTCTATAGTCTAGTCTATAGTCTAGTCTATAGTCTAGTCTATAGTCTAGTCTATAGTCTAGTCTATAGTCTAGTCTATAGTCTAGTCTATAGTCTAGTCTATAGTCTAGTCTATAGTCTAGTCTATAGTCTAGTCTATAGTCTAGTCTATAGTCTAGTCTATAGTCTAGTCTATAGTCTAGTCTATAGTCTAGTCTATAGTCTAGTCTATAGTCTAGTCTATAGTCTAGTCTAGTAGTCTAGTCTATAGTCTAGTCTATAGTCTAGTCTATAGTGAGTCTAGTCTAGTCTATAGTCTAGTCTATAGTCTAGTCTAGTCTATAGTCCTAGTCTTATAGTCTAGTCTATAGTCTACTCTGGTCTAGTCTAGTCTAGTCTAGTCTTCTAGTCTTTCTAGTCTATAGTCTAGTCTATAAGTCTACTCTGTCTAGTCTAGTCTAGTCTAGTCTAGTATCCCTAGTCTATAGTCTAGCCTATACTAGCTAGTCTAGTCTACCTAGTCTAGTCTTAGTCTATCTATGTCTAGTCTATAGTCTAGTCTATAGTCTAGTCTATATTCTAGTCTATAGTCTAGACTATATATATCTATATATATATACAACATACTTCACGATATATCTAGTCTATTCTATAGTCTAGCCTGGTCTAGTCTAGTCTATAGTCTAGCCTATAGACTCTAGTCTATAGTCTAGTCTAAAGTCTAGTCCATAGTCTAGTGTATAGTCTAGTGTATAGTCTAGTATATAGTCTAGTCTATAGTCTAGTCTATAGCCTAGTCTATAGTCTAGTCTATAGTCTAGTCTATAGTCTAGTCTATAGTCTAGTCTATAGTCTAGTCTATAGCCTAGTCTATAGTCTAGTCTATAGTCTATTCTATAGTCTAGTCTATAGGCTAGTCTATAGCCTAATCTATAGTCTATAGTCTATAGTTTAGTCTATAGTCTAATTTATAGTCTAGTCTATAGTCTAGTCTATAGTCTAGTATATTGTCTAGTCTATAGTCTAGTCTATAGTCTAGTCGATAGTCTAGTCTATAGTCTAGTCTATAATCTAGTCTATAGTATAGTCTAGTTTATAGTGTGGTCTATAGCCTAGTCTGTAGTCTAGACTATGGTCTATGCTATAGTATAGTTTAAAGTCTAGTCTATAGTGTATAGTCTAGCCTACTTTATAATAAAGTTTATAGCCTAGTCCATAGGCTAATATATAGTTAAATCAATAGTCTAGTTTATAGTATAGTCTACAGTCTATAGTGTATAGTCTAGCATACTTTATAATAAAGTCTATAGCCTAGTCCATAGTCTAGTATATAGTCAAATCTATAGTCTAGTTTACAGTCTAGTCTACCGTCTAGTTTATAGTCTTCATGCTGTTCAATTTAAAGCCTTCAAGGGAAGTATGAAGTATTGTATATATAATCGGTAAATGAAATTATACCAAAAAATCTATTAAAATGTCTCATTATATAAAAATAGTGACTATAATAATTGGCCATGAGAAATCATTTTATAACGGAAAAATGCTTAACTAATCAATTGGATAACGGGAATTGTGACAATTATATAAAAAGGAAACATAAAGAAAATAGGCATTAGTCTATTATAATAACAAAGGAACTTTTAATTCTCTACCATGAAGAGTTTTTCGGCTAAACTGGTTATTTTATTGATTATATACCAGATATATCCAAGCACTGCAGATGTAAGTTTTTAAAAACATGGAAAGAAATACATTTACAATAATTTGATATTAATTTATTTTATAGTCCAGCGCCAAGAATGAGGTGAGTTTTTAAAGCAATATGGAATGAAATATATACTAATTTAATAATAATTTGGTTTTATAGTCCAATGTCAAGAATAAGGTGAGTTTTTAAAACAGCAAAGAACGAAATATATACTAATTTCATAATTATTTCTTTTATAGTCCGATGCCAAGAATGAGGTGAGTTTTTTAAGGAATAAGGAGAGAAGTATATATTAATTTCATAAAAATTTATTTTATAGGTCGATACCAACAATAAGGTAAGTTTTCAAAGCAACAAGGAAAGATATATATACTAATTTTATAATAATCTGGTTTTATAGTCCGATGACAAGAATAAGGTGAGTTTTTAAAGCAACAAAGATAGAAATATATACTAATTATTTCATATTTTATTTTATAGTCCGATGACAAAAATAAGGTGAGTTTTCAAAGCAATAAGGAGAGAAAAATGTACTAATTTCATAATAATTTATTTTATAGGTCGAAACTAAGAATGAGGTGAGTTTTTAAAATAACAAAAGAAGAAATATATACTAATTTCATAATAATTTATTTTATAGTCCGATGCCAAGAATGAGGTGAGTTTTTAGAACAACAAAGAAAGAAATATATACTAATTACATGATAATTTATTTTATAGGATGATAACAAGAATGAGGTGAGTTTTTAGAACAACAAAGAAAGAAATATTTACTAATTTGATAATAACTTGATTTTATAGTCCGATGACAAGAATGAGGTGAGTTTTTAGAACAACAAAGAAAAAAATATATACTAATTACATAAAAATTTATTTTACAGGATGATAACAAGAATGAGGTGAGTTTTTAAAACAATAATGAAAGAAATATATACTAATTTGATAATAATTTGGTTTTATAGTCCGATGCCAAGAATGGGGTGAGTTTTAGAACAACAAAGAAAGAAATATAAACTAATTATATAATAATTTATTTTATAGGATGGTAACAAGAATGAGGTGAGTTTTTAAAGCATAAAGAAAAGAAATATTTACTAATTTGATAATAATCTTATTCTATAGTCCGATGCCAAGAATGAGGTGAGTTTTTAGAACAACAAAGAAAGAAATATATACTAATTTCATAATAATTTATTTTATAGGATGATAACAAGAATGAGGTGAGTTTTTAAAACAATGATGAAAGAAATATACACTAATTTCGTAATAATTTATTTTATAGTCCGATGCCAAGAATGAGGTGAGTTTTTAGAACAATAAAGAAAGAAATATTTACTAATTTGATAATAATTTTATTTTATAGTCCGATGCCAAGAATAAGGTGAGTTTTTAGAACAACAAAGAAAGAAATATATGTTTACTAATTTCATAATAATTTATTTTATAGGATGATAACAAGAATGAGGTAAGTTTTCAAAGCAACAAGGAAGGAAACATATATTAATTTGATAATAATTTGGTTTTATAGGCCGATTCCGGAAAAGTGGTAAGTATTTGAAATAACAAGGCAAGAAATTTATACTAATATCATTATAATATATTTTGTAGAGCAAATCTGAAAAAGATATAAGTTTTTAAAATAACAAGGAATGATATATTTACTAATCTAATCATTTGTTTTGTAGTCTAAGGCCTAGAAAGCAGCGTTTGTATCAGAATGACGGGCCGCACAAGGCCAATAAAATCATAGGATAACATCATATTTGGATTATATTCATAATATAATTTAAATTATATATAATGTATTAGTAATAAAAAGTGTTTATAAAACTATCATGATTACTAGAAATTACTTTCGTTTTATTTTGTAATGATTCTTGAATGATTAGGGGTCTAAAAACCATTGACTTGATAGATTCAAAAGAATCTTCAAACAATTTTGTGGGCGCTCCAGCCATTATAAGTGGTTTTGGTAGGACAAAAGATGCAGTTGTGAAGTTATCTCGCTGGTTATTATGGGCTACTATAGAAATTGTCCCTAATGAGCAATGTGATGAGGCATACAAAGAGAAAACTCCAGATACAGTTCTATGTGCAGTGGGCTCGAATGGTACTAATATGTCTGCATGCGATGGTGATTCTGGTGGCGCTTTAGTTTGGTAGAATCCAGATAATAAGTTTGTGCAAATAGTGGTATTTTCCTATTTAAAACCAAGAAAGTGTTCGAAATATCCTACAGGTTATACTAGATTAACTTCATATTTAGATTATGTTAAAAACGTAACGGGTTTACAGATTGGTTAATTTTAAGATGGAAATTTCGAAAAGAACCCTAAAGGAATTATGTCAATACAGTTAAATAAACTTGTACGTGTTGTTTTAAAGTTGTTCTCTGGGTTACAACATTCGGCAGATACATCTATTGCTGAGTTGTCAATCTTTGACTGATTGGGATATCTTGTTGTTTTTTACTTATGTATCGTAAATTTAAAGTAAATTTCTGAAGGTGTTCCAATATGTAGACCTGGAGGTATATATATAAAAGGGTTTTTTATAAGGGGATAGATGATATCATGGTTCCAAGCTCTTGAAATTCCATAAGGAAAGTTTGTTCTTAATTCGAAGACACTTCATACTTATTAAGCATAGGAATGAGTGAGATAACCAGGAAGAAGTTTAACATATAGAGATTAAAATGCTTCAGTTATCAGTTATCTAACATCTGAACTATATATAGTATGTATATGTATAGCAAAAGGTATTCATTCATTAAGCCCTTTCAAAATATAAAAAAAAAGGTTTAAAGAGAAGTATGGCTGACAACATCAAGATTGTATAGAACCGAATATAGTTGGCTTCGAAAAGTGATTTTGAATAGACCGAGAAAAAAGGTTGATCCGTTTTTATGGGAGTTTGAGTTGTACTAACGTGTAAACAACTGTAACATATTAGTTTAATGCTATAAAGGGTCTAACGAATCAATTTATGAATTAAATTGTGACAGAAGTTATATATTAAAGAAAACTTAATGAAAATTGACAGCAGTTCAAAAAAAAACCCTATTAATGGTTAAACATGAAGATTTTTTCGTCTAAAATAATTACCTTAGGGATCATATGCCGTATATATCTAACCAATGCAGCGGTAGGGTCTTAAAGAAAACGTCACCTAGTATATAGAAAGTAACATAATATTAATTCTTTTTCAGTCCAATTCCCAAAGTGCACCCATTATATCGGGTACGCGGGCCGAACTAGGTCAATTTCCCTGGCATGTTCTTCTAGCGATATATGCAACAGAGGAAGAAGAATTAGAGGTATGTGGCGGTTCTATTCTTAGCGAAAAATGGGTTTTAACTGCTGCTCATTGTATTCATGAAATTCAAGTCCTCGTTATGGCCTTTGGAACTATTGAATTTGATGATACACCCATTATGATCAACTCGGATGATTTTTTTATACACCCAGAATACGATGACGTAAATTTGATTAACGACATTGCCCTAATTGAGCTACCGACACCATTGAATTTTAGTGACAACATAAAAACCATTGATTTAGTATCTTCCAGAGAAATTAACAATACCTTTATTGGTGTTCAAGGAACTATATGTGGTTTTGGTACAACAAGTGAACTAAGTAAAGAAAATTCCGAATGGTTATTATGGACCACTATAGAAATTGTTAATAATACTGAATGTGATCGGGCGTATGATGAACAAACGCCTGCCACAGTTATGTGTGGCATTGGTTGGAATGCTACCAAACAGTCGCCATGTGTTGGTGATTCTGGTGGTGCTTTAGTTTGGAAGAACGAAAATGATACATTTATTCAAATTGGCATAATATCTTATGCCAAGAGAAATTGTTCCCAATATCCAGTTGGTTATACTAGAGTAGCACCATTTTTGGATTTTATTAACAATATTACGGGTTTAAATTTTGATTAAATTAAAAAGCTATTTGTTAACAAAGAAAAAAATTTAAATACAAAAATATTGAAAAAAAAAAAAAATGAAAAGCGTTGACTATGGCGGACTATAATCCGGTATAAACTTTGGGATTTTGTCAGCCGAAAACTAGCGGATTATGTACGTCCTGAAGTATAGCATATAGTACAGACTATAGTTTAGTCTTTAATCTGGTATATAGTCTAGTTTATAGTCTAGCCTTTAGCCTGGCTTAAAGTCTATTCTATAGTGTAGTGTATAGTCTAGTCAATAATCTAGTCTAAAGTCTAGTCTATTGGACAGGCGCGGATCCAGCTCAAGCTTTTGGGTAATTTTCCCATAAAAACTGATCAACCTTTGCTTCTCGGTCTATTCAAAAGCACTTTTCGAAGCCAACAAATCGACTATATTCTTAACTTTTAAACCTTTTTCTATATTTTGAAAGGGCTGAATAAATACCTTTTGCTATTAGCTTTATAACATATATATATATATATATATATAGTTCAGATGTTTGATAACTGAAGCATTTAATCTCAACATCTTAAACTTCTTCCTGGTTATCTCACTCATTCTTATGCTTAATAAGTATGAAGTGTCTTCGAATTAAGAACAAACTTTCCTTATGGAATTTCAAGAGCTTGGAACCATGATAGCATCTATCCCCTTATAAAATCCATTTTATATATATACCTCCAGGTCTACATATTGGAACGCCGTCAGAAATTTACTTTAAATTCACGATACATAAGTAAAAAACAACAAGATATCCCAATTTTGACAACTCAGCAATAGCTGTATCTACCGAAAGTTTTAACCCAGAGAACAACCTTCTGTTAAAACAACAAGTACAAGTTTATTTAACTGTATTGACATAATTCCTTTAGGGATCTTTTCGAAATTTCCATCTTAAAATTAACCAATCTGTAAACCCGTTACGTTTTTAACGTAATCTAAATATGAAGTTAATCTAGTATAACCTGTAGGATATTTCGAACACTTTCTTGGCGTTAAATAGGAAAATACCCCTATTTGCACAAACTTATTATCTGGATTCTTCCAAACTAAAGCGCCACCAGAATCACCATCGCATGCAGACATATTAGTACCATTCGAGCCCACTGCACATAGAACTGTATCTGGAGTTTTCTCTTTGTATGCCTCATCACATTGCTTATTAGGGACAATTTCTATAGTGGCCCATAATAACCAGCGAGATAATTTCACAACTTTATCTTTTGTCCTACCAAAACCACTTATAATGGCTGGAGCGCCCACAAAATTGTTTGAAGATTCTTTTGAATCTATCAAGTCAATGGTTTTTATGTTTTCATTAAACTTTAAAGATGTCGGTAGTTTAATTAGGGCGATATCGTTGAATAACGTGTCGGGATCATATTTGGGATGTATGAAAAACGCTGAAGAGCTCATATTAAGTTCATTATTCCAAAGATCTATGGTACCAAATGCTAATACAACAGAAGTTAGATTATCTAGACAATGAGCAGCTGTTAAAACCCATATGTCGGAAATAATGGAACCACCACATATCTCGACATCTTCATCGTCTTCTTCCAGCCATATGAGAGCATGCCAGGGAAATTGACCCCGTGTAGCCCGTTTGCCAGATATTATGGGTGCACTTTGGTCATGGGACTGGAAATGGAATTATTAAAACTTATATATATCTTATTTATTATAAATATTACCGCTATAGTGGTCAGATATAACTGACATATGATCCCAAAAAGGGCTAGTTTTGGTAAAACACCCGTCATTTTAATCAGTTACTAGATACTTTGTGTAAGGTCTTTCTTTCTTATATTTTCTTTTTATTTAATTGCACTTTTTTATATATTTAATTTTTAAAATTTTCTCACTATAATTTCATTCATTAATCGATTTGTTATGTTGTTTTCTGATCGGTATTTTTAGCCGCTTTACCACATAGAACTGTATCGGGCGCTGTTTGATTGTATGTTGTTTCACATTCAGTATTACTGACACTTTCAATAGTACTCCATAAAAACCAATTACTAGATCCGCTAGATGAACCTGATACCAAACCAAAACCACTTATATTTCCCTGAACACCTAGAAAGTTATTATCTTTTTACGATGATGCCACCAAATCAATGTTTTTAATGTTATCGTTAAAAGTCAATGGTGTTGGTAGTTTAACTATGGCAATATTGTTTAACACTTTATATTTTGTATGAAAAATTTTCGGTTTTGGGGGGAAATTTCGCTTTTCCTCCCGTGGATCCGCGCCTGCTATAGGATAATCTAGTATATAGTCACTAGACTAGATTATACACCTGACAATAGACTAGACTATGCTGTAGTCCAGAATACAGACTAGACTATAAATTTTACTATAGTATAGTCTATAGTCTAGTCTATAGTCTAGTCTATAGTCTAGTCTATAGTCTAGTCTAGACTAGATTATACACCTGACAATAGACTAGACTATGCTGTAGTCCAGAATACAGACTAGACTATAAATTTTACTATAGTATAGTCTATAGTCTAGTCTATAGTCTAGTCTATAGTCTAGTCTATAGTCTAGTCTATAGTCTAGTCTATAGTCTAGTCTATAGTCTAGACTACAGTCTAGTCTATAGTCTAGTCTATAGTCTAGTCTATAGTCTAGTTTATAGTCTAGTCTATAGTCTAGTCTATAGTCTAGTCTATAGTCTAGTCTATAGTCTGGTCTATAGTCTAGTCTACAGTCTAGTCTATAGTCTAGTCTATAGTCTAGTATATAGTCTAGTCTATAGTCTAGTCTATAGTCTAGTCTATAGTCTAGTCTATAGTCTAGTCTATAGTCTAGTCTATAGTCTAGTCTATAGTCTAGTCTATAGTCTAGTCTATAGTCTAGTCTATAGTCTAGTCTATAGTCTAATCCAGTCTATAGTCTGGTATATAGTCTAGTCACAAATACTATGAATATATTTCATTAATGCAAGGAAATATTTCATACCCTAGGATAATATAGTATATAGTCACTAGACTTGATTATACACCTGTCAATAACCTAGACTATGCAATACAGACTAGACTATAAAATAGATTCTAGACTAGACTAAAGAATAGACTAGATTATAGACTATAAATTGGACTATAAACTAGACCATAGACTATAGTTTAGTCAGCAGTCTAGTCTATAGTATAGTCTATAGTCTAGTCTATACTCTAGTCTATAGTATAGTCTATAGTCTATAGTATAGTCTATAGTATAGTCTATAGTCTAGTTCATAGTCTAGTCTATAGTCTAATCTATAGTCTAATCTATAGTCTAGTCTATAGTCTAATATATAGTCTAGTCTATAGTCTAATATATAGTCTAGTCTATAGTCTAGTCTATAGTCTAGTCTATAGTCTAGTCTATAGTCTAGTCTATAGTCTAGTCTATAGTCTAGTTTATAGTCTAGTCTATAGTCTAGTCTATAGACTAGTCTATAGTCTAGTCTATAGACTAGTCTATAGTCTAGTCTATAGTCTAGTCTAGTCTAGTCTAGTCTAGTCTATAGTCTAGTCTATAGTCTAGTCTAGTCTAGTCTATAGTCTAGTCTATAGTCTAGTCTATAGTCTAGTCTATAGTCTAGTCTATAGTCTAGTTTATAGTCTAGTCTATAGTCTAGTTTAGTCTAGCCTATAGTCTAGCCTATAGTATAATCTAGTCTATAGTATAATCTAGTCTATAGTCTGGTATATAGTCTAGTCACAAATACTATGAATATATTTCATTAATGCAAGGAAATATTTCATATCCTGAATGAAAATTCACTGATACAATGCAAAAAGTCATGAAAACTGCTTCGTTAAGACTTGGTTCAATAGTAATACAACTGTATATATACAACAGAATAGTTATAAATTTCATGCCGAAAATGCCTAACAAATCAATTGATAAGTGGACTTAATGCCAAAAAATAACAATTATTTAAAAAGGAAATATCAAAAAAAGACATAATATTTATTGTATTTAACATGAACAGTTTTTCGTTGAAAGTGGTTATTTTAGGGATAATTTGGCGGATATATCTAACCATTGCCGAGGTATATTTTTAAAGAAAAATTATGTAAATATATACTAAATTGATAATCATTGGTTTTGCAGTCCGAAAACCAGAGTCCAGTCGTTACAGATGGTAATCGGGCCGAAGTAGGACAATTTCCTTGGCATGTTATTTTAAAAGTACAAAATTTTGATGATGAACTAGAGTCATTTGGCGGTTCTATTATTTCCAATAAATGGGTTCTAACAGCCGCATATCCCTTTTATTCTCCTTATTTAGTTAAGTTAATATTTGGAACTATAGAACTGGACAATAATGACACCACAATGATTTCTTCAAATGTCTTCATACATCCTCAATTCAATAGGTCAACTTATAGAAATGATATAGCATTGATTGAATTGGAATTTGAATTGGATTTTGACAATAATATACAACCTATTGCATTAGCATCTGCTGCGCAGTCATCAAATGATTTTATTGGAGCTAATGTTATTATAACTGGTTTTGGTCTGACCGCCGATGTATTAAAACTTTCCGATTGGTTGCTATGGACTACTTTGGAAATTGTCAATAGTAGTGTATGTGATAGCGTTTTCGATATACCAGTGTTAGATTGTGAAATGTGCGCAAGTGCTTTAAAGGGTATATCTCCATGCGATGGAGATTCTGGCGGAGCTTTAGTTTGGAAAAATGAAAATGATAAGATGGTTCAGATCGGTCTATTTTCGTTTTCTATGCTAGAATGTTCAAAATATCCTACAAGTCATATTAAAGTAAGTTCATATTTGGATTATATTCATAATATAACGGGTTTAAATTTTGATTAATTTTAAGAAGAAATTTAAAAAAAATGGATAATTGGATCAATACAAATTAAGAAACTTTTACTTGTTGTTGTTTTTTTAAACTTATATTCGGCTATAAAAGAACTGGGGTAAAGAATTTAGGGGGACTTAGCGAAATCGTGGACCGACGCCAAATAAACCTTATAATCAGAGAATGTTTTGAGGATATATTTTCCTGTCTAGGTGCCTTCATCAAACGCATAAAGATAAATTGTCTGAGAATCTAACATTTAATCTGATATTTTTGTGAAAGAAATGATATTTGGATTGATAGTTTTGTAGATATATACGTACGTCCCCTTCAAGACGTGATCAAATACTATAATAAACAGTTGTTAAAAAACAAACTACAAAGATTAAAAGATAAACATGTCAACATTAAGATTCTATAGAACTGAAACGAAATCAATTTCATGCCGACAATATCTAACGAATCAATTGTTAAGGGAACTTAAAGTGTAAAAATTCGCTGAAATATACAATTAAATAAGAATGAAATAACAAAAAATACAGACATTATACTATTTAACGTATTTAACATGCAGAGTTTAACGACTAAAGCCTTTATTTTAGGTATGATATGGCCGATATATCTAACTATTGCAGCGGTAAGTTTTGTAAAGAAAAATAAACTAAATTTGATAATAATTTGTTTTGCAGTCTAATAACCAGACAGCAGCTAATATAGAGGATAAACGGGCAATATTGGGACAATTTCCCTGGTATGTTTTAATAAAAATAAACGCAACTGAAGAAGAAATACATGTATGTGGCGGTTCCATTATATCTAATAAATGGGTTTTAACAGCGGCCCATTGCTTTTCTGGTCCTTTACATATACAGCTAGTTTTTGGAATTATAGAACTGAACAATAACGGCACAACAATGATCTCTAGTAAAGTATTTGTACATCCTCAATACGATGAGAATACTTTGAGAAATGATATTGCCCTGATTGAACTACCCGAGGAATTGGAATTTACCGATAATATACAACCGATTGCAATGGTATCTTCAGCGAAGGCATCAAATAATTTCATTAATGATAAAGCCATTATAACTGGTTTCGGTGTAACCGAAAATTCCGTTTTTTCCGACTTTTTACTTTGGACGATTTTAGAAATTGTCAATAATAGTGTATGTGATAGAGTGTATATTACAGAAATGAGCGATACAGAAATGTGTGTGATTAGTGGTAGTAATATGTCTGCTTGCACTGGAGATTTTGGTGGTGCTTTAGTTTGGAAAAATGAAAATGATGAAATGGTGCAGATTGGCATATTTTCGTTTTTTAAGGATAGCTGTTTGGAAACTCCAACGGGTTTTACTAGAGTACCGTCGTATTTAGATTATATTAAGAATATAACGGGTTTAAATTTTTGATTAACTGTAAAAGATATGTAATTTTAATGAAAAGAAAATATATTTAAAAAAGACAGATAGAGGGGCATTCTTAAATTTATTTCTATAATTTAAAGGATTTTGAAAAAGTAGACATTTTCGTTAAGGATTCATACTTATTTCTTGGAACTCGATATATTATCTGATAACTTGCAAAAAAAAAAGCGAAAAATGGAAATCCACTTTAGGCCTAAAACGGGCATAACGAATCAATTTAATATGGAAATTATGGCAGAAAACTAATTTCAAAATTTTATTTAAATAAAATTAGGAACATGAAAAAATTAACATTAGTCTTTTTATTGTAATAACTGTAAATTAACATGAAGATTTTTTCGACCAAACTGATACTTTTAGGGATCTTATGCAGGATATATCTAACCACTGCTAAGGTAAAGTTTTGATAGTAAAACATAATATTAAAAAAAACTGTACAATATAATAATTTATTTTACAGTCCAGTGGCCAGAGTGCGGCCATTATATCTGGTACGCAAGCCGCACTCGGTCAATTTCCCTGGCATGTTCTTTTCAAAATAAAAACTGGTAGAGCAATACAGTTATGTGCCGGTTCTCTTATATCCAATAAATGGGTTTTAACAGCTGCTCATTGTATTTACAATATTAGTAATAATCTTGTTATGGCCTTTGGAACCATAGAACTGCGCAATAATCCAATTAATATGACCTCAACTAAATTTTTTATACATCCTGCCTATAAACCCAATGTATTGACTGATGATATTGGCCTTATAGAACTACCAACGCCCTTGAATTTTACCGATAATATAAAAGCTATAGATTTGGTCTCATCAACGGAAACATCAAATGATTTTCTTGCTGCCCAAGGAACTATAAGCGGTTTTGGTGCGACAAAAGATAAAGTTGATATACCTTCCGATTGGCTATTATGGACCACGGTAGAAATTCTAAATAATAGTGTATGTGCTCAGATGTTTCACATACCAAATGATAATAGAACAATGTGTGGTAAAGGTTGGAATGGTAGCAATCAATCGCCATGTTATGGTGATTCTGGTGGTGCCTTAGTTTGGAAGAATCAATTTGATAAGTTTGTACAGATTGGCATAGTATCGTTTGCCAAGAGAAACTGTTCGAATTTCCCATCGTCTTATGTAAGACTAACGACTTATTTAGATTATATACGCAATATAACGGGTATAAAATTTGATTAATTAAATACAAATAAAATTCGTCTGGTTTTGTGTTGATTCACAAGATAATTTGGGTCCAGATTTCAAATGTTATTTCTTCTTTGGAAAGAATTGAATAATAACGCTTATAATCAAAATTATATGCTTTGCAAATCGATTTTTTACCTAACGAATCAGTTGATTTAGCAATTTAAGGTAAAAAATAAACCTGAAAATATTAACTTATATAAAAAGAAACCGAAAAAATAATACACATTCTAGAGGGTAACGAGTAACTGTCAAACATGAGGAGTTTTTCTGCGAAAATGATTATTTTAGGAATGATATTCCCGATATATTTAACCACTGCGGCGGTAAGATTTTTTTGGGGAAAACTAACTTAAAATATACTAATTTAATAACAATATCTTATGTAGTCCAATAACCAGAATGCCGCCATTATAGATGGCAAACGAGCTGAACTGGGACAATTTCCCTGGCATGTTATTTTAAGAATTAACGAATTTGAAGATGAAATAGAAGTATGTGGTGGTTCCATTATTTCCGAAAAATATGTTTTAACAGCTGCCCATTGTTTTTATGGTCCCTTTTACGTTGAACTAGTATTTGGTACCATAGAACTCAAGAATAATGATACGACAATGGTCTCTAGAGAAGTGTTTGTACATCCGGAATTCGATAAGGATACTTTTAGAAATGATATTGCAGTGATTGAACTACCAGAGGAATTGGAATTTACAGATAATATCGAACCCATACAATTGGTATCATCAGCGCAGGCCTCAAATGATTTTATTGGCACTGAGGTCATTATAACTGGTTATGGACGGACACAGGGACATGTTAATAAACTTTCCGATTGGTTACTTTGGGCTTCTTTAGAAATTGTCAATAATAGTGTATGTGATAGGGCGTATAATACACCAATGAGAGAGACAGAGATGTGTGCGATTGGTCTTAGCGGTAGTGATATGTCACCATGTAAGGGAGATTCGGGTGGTGCTTTAGTTTGGAAGCAAGATAATAATACGATGGTGCAAATTGGTATATTTTCATTTTTAAAGGGTAATTGTTCGGAATATCCTACGGGTCATACTAGAGTTACAAAGTTTTTAGATTTTATTCATAATATAACGGGTTTAAATTTTAATTGAATTACAAATAAAACTGAACTAAAAACTATGGCGAAAATCTGCATAACGAATCAATTAAATAAGGAAATTATTAAAAAAAAAAAAAACATAAAAAATTGCAAATAAATAAAAACAGGGAAAGGAAAAATGGTCATTAGTCTTCTAATGGCAACTAAACTGATTATTTTAGGGATCTTATGCAGGATATATCTAAGCCCTGCCAAGGTAATAACTTACCTTAAGTATAAAATACTATAATGAACTAAATTTTTGGTTAATACTTTCTTTTGCAGTCTATGCCTCAGAGTGCTGCCATTATATCGGGTACGCAGGCTGCCCTAGGGCAATTTCCCTGGCATGTTCTTTTAAAAATCGACGAAACAGATGAAGGCACATATGATATTTGTGGCGGTTCTATTATTTCCAATAAATGGGTTTTAACAGCTGCTCATTGTATCTATAATATTAAAAGTCTTGTTATGGCATTTGGAACCATACAGCTGGACAATAATTCCATAATTATGGACTGTCCCAACTACTATATACATCCATCTTACAATGATGATTACTTCACCGATGATATTGGTCTAATTGAATTAATTACACCCTTGAATTTTACCCACAACATACAAGCTATCGATTTAGTAGCTTTATCGGAAAGTACAAATGATTTTGTGGGCGCTCAAGGTATTATAAGTGGTTTTGGTACGACAAGTGATAAAATTTATAAACCCTCCCAGTGGTTATTATGGACCACTGTAGAAATTGTTAATAATAGTAGATGTGCTAAGGTGCACAAGGTACCAAATGATAATAGAACTATGTGCGCTATTGGTTGGAATGGTACCAATCAATCGCCCTGTATTAGTGACTCCGGTGGGGCTTTAGTTTGGAAGAATAAATCTAATAAGCTGGTACAAATTGGCGTAATAAATTTTGCCGCAAAAAGGTGTTCGAAACAACCAACGGGTTATGCTAGATTAACTACTTATTTGAAGTATATTCAAGATGTTACCGGTTTAAATTTGGTTTAATAAAAAAGTGATAAAATTAGACTTTGTTTTAAAGAAGATAAGTAAAATAATTTGGTCTGGGTAAGGATCGTTTGGTGTCTGGTCTGTTATCTAATAGTATTTTTTAGTTGTCATTTGAAATTAATGATAAATATGATTTCCGTATAGCTAAAGAGCCTTTTAAAGTTCTACGTTCCATAACGAATCAGCTGATTGGTTTCTGGCATAAAGAAAATCAATGTTATGCCTCACAAAGGTCTAACGAATCGATTGCTGAAGCGATTTTGAAGAAATTAAATGAAAAGTTAATATAAAGAAACTGCTCTTAACATTATTTATCAATATAAAGTACTTAGTAATTGTTTTAACATGCCGGCTATTTTACTTAAACTGGCCCTTTTAGGGATCATATGCCAGCAGTTATATATGACAACGGCAGCGGTAAGTTTTAAACCAAATGAAGAAATGGAAAAATATTAACGAATTGTTTCACTAATTTGCAGTCCAATGAACAGAGTGCACCTATTGTCGGTGGTTCACGTGCCGTATTAGGTCAATTTCCCCATCATGTACTTTTGCGTAGAGATGCAAAAGATCAATTGTTATGTGGTGGTTCTATAATTTCCGAGAAATGGGTTTTAACAGCAGCTCATTGTGTTTATAACATGACCTCCGTTCATATGGAATTTGGTACCATAGATCTCTATGTTGATGGTGTTATTATGAATTCTTCAAAATTTTATATACATCCCAAATACCAACCCGTCATTCTAATGGATGATGTTGCTTTAATCGAACTACCTTCGCCCTTGAAATTTGACAAAAACATAGATGCCATTCCATTGGTACCTTCAAAACATGCCAACAATGATTTTGTGGGTAAACTTGGCTCTGTAACCGGCTTTGGTTGGCCCGCCGATCATGCTAATGAATTTTCGAAATATTTATTATGGGGCACGGTGGAAGTTATCAGTAATACGGATTGTGCTAAGAAATTAAATGAATCTTTTATAGAGGCTTCAGGTATGTGTGCGGTTCCTTATAGTGGTACGAATATGTCACCCTGTAAGGGTGATTCTGGTGGTGCTTTAATTTGGAAAAATGAAGATAGAAAATTTGTACAAATCGGCATTATATCGTCGACAAAGAAAAATCATTGTTCAGAATATCCTGTAACTTATGCGAGAGTTACATCGTTTTTGGATTATATACACAATATAACGGGTTTAAAGTTTGATTGATTTTATATATTTGCTCTTAATTAAAGAAGATTTCATTGGAAAAAATTTGAAAAATAAAATTGAGATTGTTTTATTTTGTATACCGAACAACAAAACCCCCGAGGTTTCTATACGAATCTATTAAGCCGTTTACAAATTGTTAACAAATAAACGTTACCCTAAGTCCCCCTATATTATGCGACTTTCTTAAGATTTGTTCTGAATTTCCGGCAGCTTCTGCGAGAGTAACTTTGTTTTTAGTTTATATACAAAATATAACTGGTTTATAATTGGATTAATTTAATCTTTAAAATAATTAAGGAAAACTTAAGAGCTTTTGAACACTTAATTTTGAGATAATATGTGATTTTGTTAGTGTAATAATAAAGATATTAGAGGAGATCTAATGATTTGTTCTATTTTAAAAGTGGGAATGTTTATAACAAACAGTTCAAGGAACATTTCAAACATTATCGAAAAAACACGGTCCACATCTACATCATTCCTAAAGACCCCTACAATAAATATTTTTATTTTTGAGCAATTGATTGCCGTGATACTTGATAAAAGTTGCGCGTCTTGATTGTCCAATGGAAGTAAGCCTTGAAAAATGCCTAACAAATTGTTCATAAAATAAAAATATTGTAAGTAATCTTGTTAAAAAATCGGTCCAAAAATAACGGAATTATGAGCAGAATAGGACAATATATGGATATCGCTCCAAAAGAATGAGGTCAAGAATGAATCAAGCCAATTTCGGATACCCTATTCAGAAGAACAGCATATCTCAGAAAGTGTGTTATGCATCAATGTGAGGTGGGTGAGGCGAAACTTCCAAAACCACTTCTTTCTAAGTAGTTTTTAACAGCTATTGCAACATGTATCCCTTAGAAATTTCTCATGAATTGATCAGGAATTGAAACTACTTAATAGAAGGACCTTTTTGGTTCATTTTTGGGCGATTTTTGGTGTCCGATCACCAATTCTAAAATCCACAAAGTTTCTGTCATACATTGAAACCGATAGAAGAACTGAGAGAACCCGCATTTTAAAGTCATAAATCCAATAATTGGCCTTGCAAATCAATTTTAGGCCTCAAAAAGGTCTAACGAATTGATTGATGAAGCGATTTTTAGGAAATTAAATTACAAGTTTATTTAAAGAAACTGCTCTTAACATTATTTATCAATATAAAGTACCTATTAATTGTTTTAACATGGCGGCTATTTTACTTAAACTGACTCTTTTAGGGATCATATGCCGCCAGTTATATATGACCACGGCAGCGGTAAGTTTTAAATGAAAGAAAAAATGGAAAAATATTAACGAATCGTTTCACTAATTTGCAGTCGAATGAACAGAGTGCACCTATTGTCGGTGGTTCACGTGCCGTATTAGGTCAATTTCCCCATCATGTACTTTTGCGTAGAGACGAAGAAGATCAATTGCTATGTGGTGGTTCTATAATTTCCGAGAAATGGGTTTTAACAGCAGCTCATTGTGTTTATAACAGGACCTTCGTTCATATGGAATTTGGCACCATAGATCTCTATGTTGATGGTGTTATTATGAATTCTTCAAAATTTTATATACATCCCGAATACCAACCCGTCATTTTAATGGATGATGTTGCTTTGATTGAACTACCGGCGCCCTTAAAGTTTAACAAAAAAATAAATGCCATTCCATTGGTAACTTCAAAACATGCCAACAATGATTTTGTAGGTAAACTTGGCTCTGTAACTGGTTTCGGTTGGCCTGCCGATCGAGCAGATGAATTTTCGGAAAAATTATTATGGGGCACGGTGCAAGTTATCAGTAATACGGACTGTGCTGAGAAATTAAATGAACCTTCTATAGAGGATTCAAGTATGTGTGCGGTTCCTTACAGTGGTACGAATATGTCACCCTGTAATGGTGATTCTGGCGGTGCTTTAATTTGGAAAGACGAAGATAAAAAATTTGTACAAATCGGCATTATATCGTCGTCAAAGGAAAATCATTGTTCAGAATATCCTGTAGCTTATGCAAGAGTTACATCGTTTTTGGATTATATACACAATATAACAGGTTTAAAGTTTGATTAATTTTATATAATTGAACTTAATTAAAAAAGTTTTCATTGGAAAGAGTTTGTAAAATTCAATTAAGATTGATTTATTTGTCTATCGAACGAACCCCAAGAGGTCTATAGAAATCTGTTAAGCAGTTTAAGCTTTACAAACTGTTAACAAATTGCCCAAGTTCACCTATATTTTGCACCATTCGCAAGAACTATTAACTGACAAAGTTACGGCCATTGTTACACGACTTGTCAGACTGTCAGACAAAAAATTGCTTAAATAAACATAAACAATAAATTAACAGGGACATTATTTAGGCAATATACGTCGTTCCTAAAGACCCCTAGAATAAATATTTTTATTTATGAGCAATTGATTGACGTGATACTTGATAAAAGTTGCGCGTCTTGATTGTCCAATGGAAGTAAGCCTTGAAAAATGCTTAATAAATTGTTCATAAAATAAAAATTGTAAGAAAACTTGTTAAACAATCGGTCCAAAAATAACGGAGTTATGAACAAAATAGGACAATATATGGATATCGTCCTATAGGATGAACATAGAAGAACAGCACATCTCAGAGAGTGTGTTATGCATCAATCGAAAAAAGTTAGTTGGACGGTTCAAGGTGTGAACTATAAGGTGGGTGAGACGAAACTTCCAAACCACTTCTTTCTACATAGTTTTTAACAGCTAACATGTGGCCGAGTATTAATTGTTCCATGTATCCCTTAGAAATTTCTCATGAATTGATCAGGAATTGAAACTACTTCATAGAAAGTCCTTTTTGGTTCACTTTTGTGCGATCTTTTTTATCCGATCACCAATTGTAAAATCCACAAAGTATCTGTCATACATTGAAAACGATAGAAGAACTGAGAGAACCCGCATTTTTATGTTATAAAACCAATATAATTGGCTTTGCAAATCAATTTTATGCCTCAAAAAGTTCTAACGAATTGATTGATGAAGCGATTTTTAAGAAATTAAATGAAAAGTTAATTTAAATAAACTAGTCCTAACATTATTTATCATAAATACACTGGTAATTATTTTAACATGACGGCTAATTTACTTAAACTATCCCTTTTAGGGATCATATGCCGGCAATTATATATAACCACGGCAGTGGTAAGTTTTAATCGAAAGAAAAAATTAAAAAAATATTTACTAATTATTCCACTAATTTGCAGTCCAATGATCAGAGTTCAGCTATTGTCGGTGGTTCAATTGCCAATTTAGGTCAATTTCCCCATCATGTACTTTTGCGTAGAGATCCAAGAGATCTATTGTTTTGTGGTGGTTCAATAATTTCCGATAAATGGGTTTTAACAGCAGCTCATTGTGTTTATAATAGGACCTACCTTCATATGGAATTTGGCACCACAAATCTCCATGTTAAAGGTGTTACTATGAATTCTTCAAAATTTTATATACATCCCAAATACCAACCCGACACTTTAATGAATGATGTTGCTTTGATTAAACTACCGTCGGTCTTAAAGTTTAACGAAAGCATAAATTACATTCAATTGGTGCCTACAAAAAATGTCGAAAATGAATTTGAGGGTAAACTTGGTTTTGTAACTGGTTTTGGTTGGTCTGCCGATCAAGCCAATAAATATACGGAATATTTGTTACGGGGCACGGTGAAAGTTATCGGTAATAAAGAATGTGCTCGGAAATTAACTGAATATTCTATACAGGCTTCAAGAATGTGTACGGTTCCTTATAAAGGTACGAATATGTCACCCTGTAAGGGTGATACTGGTGGTGCTTTAGTTTGGGAAAGCGAATATGTACAAATCGGTATTATATCGACGATAAAACAAAATCATTGTTCAGAATATCCTGTTATTTATGCGAGAATTTCATCGTATATTGATTATATACGCAATATAACGGGTTTAGAATTTCATTAATTTTATGTAATTGAACTTAAGAATATTTCATTGGAAAGAATTTGTAAAATACAATTAAAATCGTTTTATTTGCCTAGGGGTCTATAGGAAAATGTTAAGCAGTTTATAGCATTACAAATTGTTAACAAATTACCCAAGTTCATCTATATTTTGTGATTTTCACAAGAGTTATAAACTGACAAAGTTACGGCCATTGTTACCCGACTTGTCAGACTGTCTTAGTTACCCGACTTGCAAGTTAATTTTATCTAAAAATTACCATAACGAATTGATTAATTGAAAATTGTGTAACATAAAATTTCTTAAATAACATATATAATAAATTAACAGGAAGTAAGTTGATATTATTTGGCCAACAACTATAGATTGTTTAAAATGAAAACTTATTTCATTAAACTGATTATTTTAGGGATCTTATGCTGGCTATATGTTAGGCATAATCAAACTACAGCCTCTGTAAGTTTGGAATAAAAAACGATATAAATTAAGTTCTTCAATATTGCTCTTTACACTCTAATTTTCAGAGTGCTTTTATTGTCGATGGTACGCAAGCTGCTTTGGGGCAATTTCCTTGGCATGTGCTCTTAAGACGAGATGCCCAAGATGAATTATTAGGTGCTGGTTCTATTATTGCTAATAAATGGGTTTTGACCGCAGCTCATTGTGTTTATGGTCGCAGTTTCGTTCACTTGGAATTTGGCACCGTAAATCTCTACTTTGATGGTCTTATTATGAATTCTACTAAATTTTATATATATCCCCAATACAATCACCGATACCTTACCGATGATATAGCTTTGATAGAACTACCTGAAGAATTGACATTTGACCAAAATATAAATGCCATCGAATTGGTATCTTCAATATATGTTTCAAACGATTTTGTAAACGAAATTGGTATTGTAACTGGTTTCGGTTGGCCATCTAATCAAGCTAATAACTTTTCCGAATGGTTATTATGGGGCAATGTAGAAGTTATCAGTAATGAAGATTGTGCCAGAGAATTTGATGAAAATATTATAGAGAATACAGCTATGTGTACGATTGGTTATGCTGGTAGCGATATAACTCCCTGTAAGGGTGATTCTGGTGGTGCTTTAGTTTGGGAGAATCAATATGGAAAACTTGTACAAATTGGTGTAGCATCATTTGCCAAGGTAAACAGGTGTTCGGAATTTCCGGCAGCTTATGCGAGAGTAACTTCGTTTTTAGTTTATATACACAATATAACGGGTTTATATTAAAGAAGACTTGAGAGCTTGAGGTAATATTAAGTATTTGTTAGTGTAATAATAAAGGTATTAGAGGAAATCTAATGATTTGTTCGATTTTAATAGCGATTTTAAGGGAAAGTTTAGTCTATATTCTTAAATCGAACCTTGATACTTATAGGAATCTGTTAAGAGGTTTATATCTTTCCAAATTATTGACAAACAGTTCAAGGAACCTTTTAAACATTATCAAACGAATACGGTACACATATACATAACTCATGAAGGCCCCTATGCTATATATTTGTATTTCTATTCAATTGGTTACCGTGATACTTGATAAAAGTTTCGCGTTATGAGCAAAATAGGACAATATATATCACGTCATAAAAATGAGGCCAAAAAGGAATCAAGCCAATTTCGGATACCTTATTCTGAAGTGAAGCATATCTCAGAAAACGTGTGAATCGATCGAAACAAATTTTAATTGGACGGGTCAAGGTGTGGGATATAAGGTGGGTGAGGCGAAACTTCCCAACCACTCAAAGTATCTGTGGCTGAGTATTGATTGTATTTGTAATATAATCAACAAAATCTGACCATAAATAACGGAGATATGAGCAAAATATAGACTCCAAATCAAGCTAATTTCGTATGCCTTATTCTGAAGTAAAAAGCGTTCTACATCGATCGAAACAAATAGTAATTGGACTGGTCAAGGTCTGGACTATAAGGAGGGTGAGGCCAAACTTTCCAAGCACTTCGTTCGAAACAGCTGTTAACAGATACTGCAACATGTTGAGAACCGTTGTCATGATTGAATATTGGACTTTCAGGTTTGACCACATATTTTGGGCGTTTTATGTGTAATGCTCACTTCTCTGAGATGATCTGACCAGATTTCTGCAGCTCTTTTTTGGGCGATCGAAATCACCTCTTCTAAACGACTCAAAATATCTGTCATACATTAGAACCGATAGAAGACATTCACCATTAGCTTCGGTAAGCAAACGGCGTGCTTCATAACTAAAGCAAATCTTACCTGATTAGACTTTTTAGTAATGAGAATAAAAGTCTGATATATTACTTTAAAAATGAGAGAACCCTTATTTTTAAGTTATACACCCAATAGCTTAAATGATATATGCTAAAGATAGGCAATATATAGTAAAAATCTAGATTCGTAATGCATTTCAATTCGTTCTACATTTCCTCCAAAAATTGCATAACAAATTGATGGTTGAATCAAAATTTTAGTAATAAATCATTTAAATATCAAATATAACCAAAGAACCATAAAGAAAGTGTTATTTACTGGAATAACCTAGTAACAAGTAATTCTTAAAGATGAAAATTTTGCTATTTAAAGTTGGCATATTATGGAGCTTATATTGGCTATATATAATTCATAATGAAGTCAAGGCTGTGGTAAGTTTTTAACGAAAAGTTATGTACATATAAGTCATAACTGTAATTATAATTTCTAGAATTATAGTGCACCCATTATATCCGGTTATCGAGCAGCAATCGGTCAATTTCCTTGGCATGTACTTTTGCGAAGAGATGCAGATGATGAATTATTATGTGGCGGTTCTATTATTTCCACTAAATGGGTTTTAACAGCTGCTCATTGCATTTATAATATGACTTTCGTACATTTGGAATTTGGCACTATAAATCTATACTTTGATGGACTTGTCATGAACTCGACAAAATTTTATATATATCCTGAATATAATCACAACTCAACTAATGATATAGGACTAATTGAACTACCTGAACCATTAGAATTCAGCGTGAATATAAATGCCATTGAATTGATATCGGCAGAGGAGGCTTCTACCGATTTGGTGGGTGATTTATGTACAATTACCGGTTTTGGTTGGACAATGAATACTGGTAATAATTCACAGTGGTTATTATATGCCGAGGTAGATGTTATCGCTAATAATATTTGTGCTAGCGCTTACCATCTAGAAAGTATAGAGGATACAGCTATGTGTACAGAAGGTTATGCTGGTTCATCACAGACTCCCTGTAAGGGGGATTCTGGTGGTGCTTTAGTTTGGAAAAATGAACAATTTAAACGTGTACAAGTTGGCGTAGCATCGTTTATGATGTTAAATCAATGTTCAGAATTTCCTGCAGGCTTTACGAAAGTGGCTAAATATTTAGATTTTATATACAATATTACGGGTATAAATAATCAGACGGACGGAAAATAATTCAAGAAGATTTCAATAAAAATAAATTTAATTTCAAAGAAAAAAAAAATTGAAAATATTCAGCATAAAAATTGTTATTGATTTTATTATAATAAAAGGTATTACAAGAAATTAAAACGAAAGAGTCCAAGTCCATATTGTTAAATCAAACCACTATACCTATAGGAATCTGTTAATTAGTTTATAGCATAACAAATTTGTTAACAAACAGTTCAAGGTACTTGTTTAGACATTATCAAAGAAACAGGGTTCATATTACTAACGTCTTCTAGTCTATACATTTGCATATCTGTGAAATTTCGATGTTATATACATAATTACAATTACACGCCTTGAAACTCTAGTTTATACCATAAAAATTGCCCAACGAATTGATTAAAAAAATGAAATTATTGTTAGAAAAATAAGTCTTTACTAAAGGAAATATTTTAAAACAAGACAGAAACTAACAATTAGTTCATAGAACGTGAGCTTAAACATGAATACTTTTTTCTATATAGTAAGCCTTTTATGGATCTTATGCCAGCTACAAGTCATTCCTATTCAAACCACAGACTATGTAAGTTTTGAACTTAAATCCCATATAAAAAAAAACTTATTTGAAAAACAAATTCTTTCGCCAGCCAAATTACCAGAGTGCAGCTATTATATCCGGTAGACAAGCTGTACTCGGTCAATTTCCTTGGCATGTTCTCATAAGAAGAGATAATTTTGATACATTATTGTGTGGCGGTTCTATTATTGCCAATAAATGGGTTTTAACAGCGGCTCATTGTCTTAATGACCTGGATTCGGTACGTTTAGAATTTGGAACCGTAAATCTTTACGTTGATGGTCTTATAAAGAAAGCTACACGATTTCATATACATCCGAAATTTGATCGCAAACACAAGACTGATGATATTGCTCTAATAGAATTGCTTACACCATTAAACTTTAACGAGGAAATAAAAGCCATTGATTTGGTATCCTCAGCACAGGCTTCAAATGATTTTGTGGGCGCTGAAGCTGTTTTAACTGGTTTTGGTCAGACAGCTAATATAGCTGAAGATTTTTCCGAATTCTTGTTATGGGCCTCTGTAGAAGTTATCACCAATACTGCTTGTGCTCAGGCGTACCATAGAGCCAGCATAGCGAATGAAGAAATGTGTGCGATTGGTTATATGGGTAGCGATATGTCACCATGTGATGGTGATTCTGGTGGAGCTTTAGTTTGGAAGAATGAATTTAATAAATTTGTACAAATCGGTGTAGCTTCTTTTACGGTCTCAAATAGGTGTACAGAATTTCCAGCGGGTTATGCTCGAGTGTCATCGTATTTGGATTATATTCATAATATAACTGGTTTAACCTTTGATCTTCCAAATTTTAAATAATATTGTTTTTCAGAACTTTCATTAAAAGAAATCTAATCAGCTTTTGAGAGCTAGATTCAGAGAAGTCATGAATAAATCTTAACAAGATCTGATATATTATAGTTTGTTGTATAAAATATTAAACAAATTTCCTAACATTTGAACAGATAAAGGGTCAAATGGACATTATATACCACCACAATGAATGCGCTAATAATTTATAAGTCCCAACATAATTACCTATGGCAAATTCTTCATCTTGAAAATAAATATTTAAAGCAGTAAAACTTCATAACGAATTGATTTTAAATTTTAATTATAGCAAAAAAAACCCTTAATTGTTGCAATATCCGTTAAAGAAACCGAAAACCATTGACATTAGTCTATTTCGTAAATTCGACTAAAATAGACACATTGGTAAACATGAAAACTTTTTTATATAAAATTGAAATTTTGTGCATCTACTGCTGGTTATATTTATTACAAGCTCAAAATGCGAAATCGGTTAGTTCAGAAAAGAAAATCAGAGCGAATCATATCCATTAAATAAATTGTAAAAATCCAAATTATAATTGCTTTTATAGTCACATTTACAGAGCGAATCTATTGTGTCTGGTTCACGGGCCGCAATTGGTCAATTTCCTTGGCATGTTATTTTAAGGAGAAATGTATATGATGAATTATTGTGTGGCGGTTCTATTATCTCCAATAGATGGGTCTTAACAGCTGGTCATTGTGTTTACGGCCAAAAATCCATTTTATTAGTATTTGGTGCAACAAATCTATATAATTCTGATGTAAATATGACCTCAACAACATTCTATATCTATCCTGGCTATAACAAATTGGTCAATGATATTTCACTTATTGAGTTACCTACGCCTTTAAGTTTTACCTATAATATACAAGCCATTGTTTTGATTTCTTCAGAACATGCTTCAAACGATTTTGTGGGTGCAGAAAGTATTATAACTGGTTTTGGTGCGACTTCTGACACAGCTGAGAATGTTTCAGATGTATTGCTATGGACTCCTGTGGAAATTATTAATAATACTGCATGTGCTGAGATTTATCGAATGCGAAGTATAGAGGATACAATAATGTGTGGAGTTAGCTATTATAATACCGGTATAAATCCCTGTGATGGTGATTCTGGTGGTCCTTTAGTTTGGAAGAATGAATTTAAAAATTATGTACAGATTGGCGTAACTTCTTTTGCAGCTGAAAACAAGTGTTCGAAATATCCAACAGGATATACTAAAATAACTCCCTATTTAAATTATATTTACAATATTACAGGTTTAAGATTTTAGTGATTTGATTAAAAAATTATAATAAAATAAAAACTTTTCAAATAGAATAGGACAGAACCAGAACAAAAATTGAACTATAACTAGAAAAGATCTATACATAACTGAACAAGGACTGAAAAAGAACTGAACTAACCTAGAACTGAACTAGAACTGGAACTGAACTAGAACTAAACTAGAACTGAACTATAACTAAACTATTACTGAATTATAACTGAACTAGAACTAAACTAGAACTGAACTAGAACTGAACTAGAACTGAACTAGAACTGAACTTGAACTGAACTAGAACTGAACTAGAACTGAACTAGAACTGAACTAGAACTGAACTAGAACTGAACTAGAACTGAACTAGAACTGAACTAGAACTGAACTAGAACTGAACTAGAACTGAACTAGAACTGAACTAGAACTGAACTAGAACTGAACTAGAACTGAACTAGAACTGAACTAGAACTGAACTAGAACTAGAACTGAACTGAAGTAGAACTGAAGTAGAACTGAACTGAAGTAGAACTGAACTAGAACTGAACTAGAACTGAACTAGAACTAAACTAGAACTAAACTAGAACTGAACTAGAACTGAACTAGAACTGACTAGAACTGAACTAGAACTGAACTAGAACTGAACTAGAACTGAACTAGAACTGAACTAGAACTGAACTAGAACTGAACTAGAACTGAACTAGAACTGACTAGAACTAGAACTGAACTAGAACTGAACTAGAACTGAACTAGAACTGAACTAGAACTGAACTAGAACTGAACTAGAACTGAACTAGAACTAGAACTGAACTAGAACTGAACTAGAACTGAACTAGAACTGAACTAGAACTGAACTAGAACTGAACTAGAACTGAACTAGAACTGAACTGAGTAGAACTGAACTGAAGTAGAACTGAACTAGAACTGAACTAGAACTAACTAGAACTAAACTAGAACTGAACTAGAACTGAACTAGAACTGAACTAGAACTGAACTAGAACTGAACTAGAACTGAACTAGAACTGAACTAGAACTGAACTAGAACTGAACTAGAACTGAACTAGAACTGAACTAGAACTGAACTAGAACTGAACTAGAACTGAACTAGAACTGAACTAGAACTGAACTAGAACTGAACTAGAAACTGAACTAGAACTGAACTAGAACTGGAATAGAACTGAACTAGAACTGAATTAGTTCAGAACTGAACTAGAAATGAAGTAGAACTGAACTAGAATTGAAGTAGAACTGAACTAGAACTGAACTAGAACTGAACTAGAACTGAACTAGAACTGCACTAAAACTGAACTAGAACTGAACTAGAACTGAACTAGAATTGAACTAGAACTGAACTAGAACTGAACTATAATTGAATTAGAACTAAACCAGAACTGAATTGTTTTCAATGTAAAAAACAATTGACTTATTGGTTTCAATGTAATACAAAAAACCTAAAAGCAAAAAATCGTCCGTCCGCATTCCTTAGAACTAAATTTGAACTTAACTAGAATTGAAGTGAACAGAAATTGTAAATAGAATTTAAGTGGAACTATAAAACAACTAAACTATAGAATTGTATCACGAATTGATTACTAAATAAAATTATTGCAAAATATCGATTATATGTAAATGCAATATACCACAACAAACCGACACAAAATTGCATTATTCTAGTTAGAAATTTCGAATAAAATAGACGATATTGTTAAATATGAATCCAGTTTTGTATAAAGTTAGCATTTTATTGATCTTATACAGGCTATGTGTACTACATGTATTAGATGTTCATGCAGTGGTAAAGGTAAGTTTTGAATTACCGCCCGTCGCAAAGAACAACTAGATCGTCTTAGAAGTGTTTAAATACTAATTTGCCATCATTTTTTTCAGCTGTTTAACAAACGCAATGACAAAATGAATATACAAATGCAGGTGAGTATAAAAATATAAACAATTTGAACTGTAATCATTTCTTATTTCTAGAGCGAAGCCATAATATCTGGCTCGCGAGCGGCTCTAGGTCAATTTCCTTGGCATGTTATTTTAAGAAGAGATGAAGAGGATACATTATTATGTGGCGGTTCTATAATTTCCAATAAATGGGTTTTGACAGCTAGTCATTGTATTTACAACCTGAGCTCCGTTTTACTTACATTTGGTACAATAGATCTATTCAATTATGAAAATAATATGACCTCTACAAAACTTTATACCTATCCTGATTTCGATGCAGAAAACATAATAAATGATATTTCACTTATTGAACTACCAACACCTTTAAACTTTACCAAAAATATAAAATCTATTGGGCTGGTATCTTCGATAGAGGCTTCCAATGATTTTGTGGGTGCTGAAGGTATTATTATTGGTTTCGGTCAAACAGCCAATATAGCTGAAGATAGTTCTGATGTATTATTATGGGCTAATGTAGAAATTATTAATATTACTACCTGTGCAAAGGCTTATGAAGAGGAAAGTATAGAGGATACAGTAATGTGTGGAATTGGTTATAATAATAATGCCGACATATCTCCCTGTGATGGTGATTCAGGTGGAGCTTTAGTTTGGAAGAATAAATATAATAATTATGTTCAGATTGGCATAATTTCATTTACAGTTAAAAACAAGTGTTCGGAATATCCTACGGGTTATACTAAAATAACTTCGTATTTAAATTATATCAACAATATTACTGGTTTAAATTTTGATTAATTTGATTTAAGAAAAATAATAAAAGAAATTTTTTTCAAATAATGTATATGCATAGATATTAAATTTTTCCATTACAATAGAAAATAGAACTGAAACAGAACTTTAGATAGAACTAAATTAAAACTGAACTAGAAGTGAAGTAGAACTAAAACTGAAGTAGAACTAGAACTGAAGTAAAACTGAACTAGAACAGAACAAGAACTGAACTAGAACTGAACTAGAACTGAACTAGAACTGAACTAGAACTGAACTAGAACTGAACTAGAACTGAACTAGAACTGAACTAGAACTGAACTAGAACTGAACTAGAACTGAACTTGAACTGAACTAGAACTAAATTAGAACTGAACTAGAACTGAATTAGAACTGAACTAGAACTGAACTGGAACTGAACTGGAACTGAACTGGAACTGAACTAGAACTGAACAAGAACTGAATTGGAACTGAACTAGAACTGAATTAGAACTGAATTAGAACTGAACTAGAACTGAACTAGAACTGAACAAGAACTGAACTAGAACTGAACTGGAACTAGAACTGAACTAGAATTGAACTAGAACTGAACTGGAACTAGAACTGAACTAGAACTGAACTAGAACTGAACTAGAACTGAACTAGAACTGAACTAGAACTGAACTACAACTGAACTAGAACTGAACTAGAACTGAACTAGAACTAGAACTAGAACTGAACTAGAACTGAACTAGAACTGCACTAGAACTGAACTAGAACTGAAATAGAACTGAACTAGTACTGAACCAGAACTGAACTAGAACTGAACTAGAACCGAACTAGAACTGAACTAGAACTGAATTAGAACTGAATTAGAACTGAACTAGAACTGAACTAGAACTGAACAAGAACTGAACTAGAACTGAACTGGAACTAGAACTGAACTAGAATTGAACTAGAACTGAACTGGAACTAGAACTAAACTAGAACTGAACTAGAACTGAACTAGAACTGAACTAGAACTGAACTAGAACTGAACTAGAACTGAACTAGAACTAACTAGAACTGAACTAGAACTGAACTAGAACTGAACTAGAACTGAACTAGAACTGAACTAGAACTGAACTAGAACTGAACTAGAACTGAACTAGAACTGAACTAGAACTGAACTAGAACTGAACTAGAACTGAACTAGAACTGAACTAGAACTGAACTAGAACTGAACTAGAACTGAACTAGAACTGAACTAGAACTGAGCTAGAACTGAGCTAGAACTGAACTAGAACTGAACTAGAACTGAACTAGAACTGAACTAGAACTGGACTAGAACTGAACTAGAACTGAACTAGAACTGAACTAGAACTGAACTAGAACTGAACTAGAACTGAACTAGAACTGAACTAGAACTTAACTAGAACTTAACTAGAACTTAACTAGAACTAAACTAGAACTGAACTAGAACTAGAACTGAACTAGAACTGAACTAGAACTGAACTAGAACTGAACTAGAACTGATCTAGAACTGAACTAGGGATGAACTAGGGATGAACTAGAACTGATCTAGAACTGATCTAGAATTGATCTAGAATTGATCTAGAACTGATCTAGAACTAAACGAGAACTAAAATAAAACAAATATATTTAATAAGACTTGAACTAGAACGAATTGATTGCAAAATTTAAAAATTTTAAATATTATATTTGTAATACACTAAAGAAAACCGAAACAAATTCTCAGTAGTCTAGTAAGAAATTTTGAATAAAATAGACGTATTATTAAACATGAAGCATTTTTTGTATAAAGTTGGAATTTTGTTGATCTTTTACAGGTTATGTGTACTAAATGTATTAGATGCTCAAGCTGTAGAAATGGTATATTTGAAATGGGAAAATTACTAGATCCTTATATAATTCTTTACAAATCCATAAATGCAATATTAATTTTTTTTTCAGCTGTTTCACAACCAGAATAATAAAATTCAAATGCAAATGCATGTGAGTTTAAAAATATAAACAATTTGAATTGTAATCACTTTTTGAATTCCAGAGCGAACCCATTATTTCTGGTTCAGTGGCTGCTCTCGGCCAATTTCCTTGGCATGTTATTTTACGAAGAAATGAAAACGATGCGTTACTGTGTGGCGGTTCTATTATTTCAAATAATTGGGTGTTAACAGCTGGTCATTGTTTATATAACATCAGCTCTGTTTTTCTTATGTTTGGTACAATAGATCTGTTCAAATATGACATTAAAATGACCTCTTCAAAATTTTATACATATCCCGATTTCGACGTCAAAAACTTTATTCATGACATTTCTCTTATTGAACTACCTACACCTTTAAATTTTACCAAAAACATACAACCTATAAAATTGGTATCTTCAGCTGAGGCTTCCAATAAATTCGTGGGTGTTGAATGCATTATTATGGGTTTTGGTAAAACAGACGACGCAGCTAACGATACCGCTAAGGTATTGCAATGGGGTACGGTAGAAATTATTGATAATACTATTTGCGCAAAGGCTTATGGCGATGAACGTATGGAGGATACCATAATGTGTGGCGTTGGTTATAATAACAGCAAGATGACAACTTGCGATGGAGATTCTGGTGGTTCTTTAGTATGGAACAATATACAGATTGACATAACATCTTTCACAGTTAAAAACATGTGTTCCAAATATCCTCCTGGTTTTACTAGAGTAACTTCATATTTGAATTATATTCAAAACATAACTGGTATAAATTTTTCATAATTAAAATAAAACAAATTTAAGCAGAAATTAAACAGACAAATTTTTTCCAAATTTACTAAACTAGAACTGTTCTAGAACTGAACTAGATCCGAAAAAGAACTGATCAACAACTGAACTAGAACTTAATTAAACTGAAGTAGAACTAAAACTAGAACTGAGCTAGAACTAGAACTGAATTAAACTGAAGTAGAACTAAAAACTAGAACTGAACTAGTACTGAACTAGTACTGAACTAGAACTGAACTAGAACTGAACTAGAACTGAACTAGAACTGAACTAGAACTGAACTAGAACTGAACTAGAACTGATCTAGAACTGAACTAGAACTGAACTAGAACTGAACTAGAACTGAACTAGAACTGAACTAGAACTGAACTAGAACTGAACTAGAACTGAACTAGAACTGAACTAGAACTGAACAAGAACTGAACTAGAACTGAACTAGAACTGAACTAGAACTGAACTAGAACTGAACTAGAACTGAACTAGAACTGAACTAGAACTGAACTAGAACTGAACTAGAACTGAACTAGAACTGAACTAGAACTGAACTAGAACTGAACTAGAACTGAACTAGAACTGAACTAGAACTGAACTAGAACTGAACTAGAACTGAACTAGAACTGAACTAGAACTGAACTAGAACTGAACTAGAACTGAACTAGAACTGAACTAGAACTGAACTAGAACTGAACTAGAACTGAACTAAAACTGAACTAGAACTGAACTGAACATGAAATAGAACTGAACTAGAACTGAATTAGAACTGAACTAGAACTGAACTAGAACTGAACTAGAACTGAACTAGAACTGAACTAGAACTGAACTAGAACTGAACTAGAACTTAAGTAGAACTGAACTAGAACTGAACTAGAACTGAACTAGAACTGAACTAGAACTGAACTAGAGCTGAAATCGAACTGAACTAGAACTGAACTAGAACTTAACTAGAACTTAACTAGAACTGAACTAGAACTTAAGTAGAACTGAACTAGAACTGAACTAGAACTGAACTAGAACTGAACTAGAACTGAACTAGAACTGAACTAGAACTGAACTAGAACTGAACTAGAGCTGAAATCGAACTGAACTAGAACTGAACTAGAACTTAACTAGAACTTAACTAGAACTTAACTAGAACTGAACTAGAACTGAATTAGGACCTGAACTAGAACTGAACTAGAACTGAACTAGAACTGAACTAGAACTGAACTAGAACTGAACTAGAACTGAACTAGAACTGAACTAGAACTGAACTAGAACTGAACTAGAACTGAACTAGAACTGAACTAGAACTGAACTAGAACTGAACTAGAACTGAACTAGAACTGAACTAGAACTGAACTAGAACTGAACTAGAACTGAACTAGAACTGAACTAGAACTGAACTAGAACTGAACTAGAACTGAACTAGAACTGAACTAGAACTGAACTAGAACTGAACTAGAACTGAACTAGAACTGAACTAGAACTGAACTAGAACTGAACTAGAACTGAACTAGAACTGAATTAGAACTGAACTAGTACTGAACTAGAATTGAACTAGAACTGAACTAGAACTGAACTAGAACTGAACTAGAACTGAACTAGAACTGAACTAGAACTGAACTAGAACTGAACTAGAACTGAACTAGAACTGAACTAGAACTGAACTAGAACTGAACTAGAACTGAACTAGAATTGAACTAGAACTGAACTAGAACTAATGTAGAATTGAACTAGAACCGAATGAGAACTGATCTAGAATTTTCCATAGTAATTTTTATTATATCTTTTAAAGATTAAAATAATAGTGAAACCATTAAACACTTTAATTATTCTTAATATAATCTTAACAATTTCTTTTATAACTTCCAAGTATGTTGTTTAAGTAATAGCAAGAAAAAATAAATCTGTCCAAACGAAACAAAACAATTTCCCACGAATTAAATCATAAAATTCAATTATCGGCCTTAGAAAGGTTTATTTTTAATATAATTATGATAACAATCTCTCTCCTTTAGTTAAAACGTTTTTTGTTCATAGATTAGAAGAAATTTCTCTTTACTATAACGCTGTAAACAACGTCATTGCTTAAAAACAAACGGAATCAAAGGCCTTTAAATAATACCTATAATAAAATTACTTAAAAAAGTCTGTTTTCAAAAAAGAGAGAGAGAGCAAGAAAGCTTATCAAAGTGATAAAGTTTTTGTAAAATTTTGTTTAAAAATATTTTAATACTAAAGCAAAAAAAATTTAAGTTCAGTTATCAGAACACTTAAACTGCTTAAGATATCGGGGACCAGAATCAACTTTATAAGTTTAATACAACACAAAACGAAAGTTGTCAGCAGTCTTTTTAGAACTCTCGAGCAGTAATAACTATTTAAAATGAAGACTTGGTTTTTATATCAAGTGGTTTTACTATTGGTACTAAGTACCTTAATTAAAACACATGTGGAGACAAAGGCCATTGTAAGTTTTAAAAAAAATAATATTCTACAGATCCCAAACAATGTTAAATTTCTATTTTTTACTTTCTCTTTAGGAAGGACGCATTATATCTGGCTCACAAGCCACTCCAGGCCAATTTCCTTATCATGTTCTATTAAAGAAAGATGAAATAGATACCGTATTGTGTGGTGGTTCTATTATTTCTAACCTATGGGTTTTGACAGCTGCTCATTGTACTAATGGCTTACCATCCGTTATGATGGTTTTTGGCACTATTTATCGTTCAGTCAGTGCTTTAAATATGACCTCTAACCAAATTTTTATACATCCTCAATATAATCCAGCAAACTTGAATAATGACGTTTCACTTATCCAACTACCAACACCCTTAAGCTTTACCAGCTATATACAACCCATTAGTTTGGTAACACCAACACAGGCTGCAAATGGTTTTCTTGGCGATAGTGCCATTATAACTGGTTATGGTTATACAGACGATGAATATTTAGATAATCCGGAAACTTTATTATGGGCTCAAGTAGAAATTGTGGATAATAGTGCTTGTTTAGCCTGTTTTACTAATAAAACAGTGAACGATAAAACAATGTGTGCTAAGGGCTATAATGGCACCAATATGTCAATTTGCAGTGGCGATTCTGGTGGTGCCTTGGTTTGGCAGGACCAAAATAATAATTATGTACAAATTGGCATCAATTCGTTTGTAGCAGAAGATATGTGCACAGAAAACTATCCATCTGGTTATGTTAAATTATCTGCATATTTAGATTTCATTGCCAGTGTTAGTGGTATAAGTTCTAGTTAAAAGTGTTAATAAATGTTATAATTTATATGTTTGCAAAGAAAAAATATGTCTATTTTTGAAGAATATCAAGCAGAAATGCTTATGTAGATAAATCTAGTTGAATTAATGGATGACAATTTCGAATGAAAAATAAAAAAAGTGATATAAAAATTTGAAGTCAATTGAAATCAACCGATAGTGAACAGAGCTAGAACTAAACATGAACAAGAAATGATCTTGAACTGACCTAGAACTGAACAAGACTAAAAGTGAACTAGAGCTGAACAGGAACTGAATTAATCTGAACAAGAAATGAACTAGGACTGAAGGACAGAATTAAACTGAACTAGAACTGAACGAGAACTGACTAGAACTGAACTAGAACTGAAATAGAATTGAACTAGAACTGAACTAGAACTGAACTAGAACTGAACTAGAACTGAACTAGAACTGAACTAGAACTGAACTAGAACTGAACAAGAACTGAACTAGAACTGAACTAGAACTGAACTAGAACTGAACTAGAACTGAACTAGAACTGAACTAGAACTGAACTAGAACTGAACTAGAACTGAACTAGAACTGAGCTAGAACTGAACTAGAACTAAACTAGAACTGAACTAGTACTGAACTAGAACTGAACTAGAACTAAACTAGAACTAAACTAGAGCTGAACTATAGCTGAACTAGAACTGAACTAGAACTGAACTAGAACTGAACTAGAACTGAACTAGAACTGAACTAGAACTGAACTAGAACTGAACTAGAACTGAACTAGAACTGAACTAGAACTGAACTAGAACTGAACTAGAACTGAACTAGAACTGAACTAGAACTGAACTAGAACTGAACTAGAACTGAACTAGAACTGAACTAGAACTGAACTAGAACTGAACTAAAACTGAACTAGAACTGAACTAAAACTGAACTAGAATTGAACTAGAACTGAACTAGAACTGAACTAGAACTGAACTAGAACTAAACTAGAACTGAACTAGAACTGAACTAGAACTAAACTAGAACTGAACTAGAACTAAACTACAAGTGAACTAATTCACCTAATAGTTGTTGTAGATTTTCTAATGAACTTGCAGATTTATGTTAATACTAAAACTTATTGATTATTATTTATCAGACAAGTATAAGGAATTAAAATTAATTTCATTTTATTCCTAGAATTTTTAAATGTCTTAAAAATGTTTTCTTAAATCTAGATAAGATAACAGAAAAATATATTATTAAATGGCAAAGCAAAAAATAATCAGATTTTAATTTGCAATTAACAAGAGAAGAAAATGTTATATTAAATAATAAATTAAAAAATAACACACTAAATTGAAAGGGGAATTTACAAATTGAAAATATTTTGAGTAGACAATCAAATAAACGAAAAAACGTTTAACAACAAATCACAAAAATGAAATTAAAAAAAAAAAAACATTGTAAAACATTAAATAATGCGGAAAATGATGACTTTTTTCCTTTTTAATAAAATTTTTTACTAAATTAGAAAGAAAATTGCAAAAAATTTGCAATAATTTACTGAAGGAACGAAATGGAATCATGTGGAACGTTATATTTTTTAAACTGCGTAGACTATTTTAACGAATTAATATGCATTTTACCAAAAACTTTAATTTATACCAATTATTTTCACAAGAAACAAAATGGAATTTTGTGAAACATTAAATAATTGAGTTAAAAGTAGTTAATATGAAAATATTTGAATAGATAATATAAAGGTTTAGCTGAATTAGTAAGAAAACATAATAATTTAAAGGAAATGAACAAGATTTTGCTTAAGGAACGAAATGGAATATGATGAAACATTAAAATTTGTAAATTATTTTCATACTACTAAATTAAAGAATAAAACATTTATAAAGAAATACAATTTTTATAAAAAAATTGATACAGGGAACAAAATGGAATTTGGTAAAACATTGATTAAATGTGAAAAATTTTAATAAATATTTAAAGGTAATAATAAAAAATATTGAAATTAAGAAAAAAATTAAATGGCCTTATTGAAATTTATGAAATTTCGTTTAGGAAATATAATGGAATTCTTGAAACACGCTCTAAGTAATGGAACTAAATGAAAACAAGTGCAACATGCAGAAATTTCAATGTAGATAGAGTGATTTTTATATTTCCCAAAAGGGAATACAAATTTTCAAAGTGGAACGAAATGGAATTTAGTGAAACACTTCGAAATTTCATTATAAATGGTAATAATAGCGCACAGTGGTATAGGAAAAAAAAAAAGAGGGAAATAATTCGGTAACTTCTAAACGGTTAATCCGATTTTAATGAAATTTGGTATGCACAAAGAGGAGGTGTTGTCGAGTTTAGGTTTTGAATTTGGACCTTATAGGCCAACCAGGGGCCCGGCGGGGGGTCCTCAAATTAGGACACCTCGGCTATGTTAAATTTTTAAAACGATCCTATTTCTTCATTTGAGTTCCGATTTAAAAAAAATTTCGTATATAGAATCTCCTCATCGAGCACTATAAAAAATGTTGTCATAGCAGTAAATTATCTCTTATAGTTTAGGAGATATTCGCATTTGAAAATTAAAATTTTAAAATTTTTACCGTCCTTACTTTAGTTTTTTTTGATAATAGCAGGTCCAAATATTCCCGATTTTCGCCATTTTGTTTTATTCGCTTAACAACAAGTTTATATATCAAGCAGTGAAAGAATTATGTAAAAATCATGACTGAGTCCAAAGTTATAGGCATTTTAATTTAAAAAATTAAAAAAAGGCGATTTTTTGTCATTTTTTTGGGAAAAAAGTATCTTTTTCTTTTTAAGTTATCTAAAAAGTTTCTAAGAAGATGTATATAGAATTTATACTTTTTGGAAAGCTGACTTTACATAAAATACGATAAATGAAACAAAACCTAAAAATTTTTGATACCGAGGGGACCAGATCCATCCAAAAAAACCCTATTTTTTATGGAAAATTAAATTTTGAGCAAAAATTCTCAAATCGCATAGTCGATATCAAATTATAGTGACCTGTTTTATATGACCCAATAAGTTCTTAATCATTTTGTAACGGGTTTCGATAACCCCGCCCCTGGTATGGATATAATAGGCAAAAAACCAAAAAATCCCATTTTTGGGATTTTTTAAAACTTTTTTGGGAATTCCGGGATTTCTAATAAGAAAATTCGAAATTTTTATTTAATTTTGGATTTTGAGTAAAAAAATCTACCTAACTGTAAAATTTCATCAAAAAATATTCATAAATAAAATTTTTATTGCAATTTGAAAAATTTGTATCTTCGCAAAAACTGAATAAAAAACATTTTTTAATTTTTTTTAAAAAAAGTATTCCGCGAATTTTTTAATTTTCAAAAATTATATACAGTTTTGAAATGTTTTTTAAGTGACAAATTAATTAGGGAAAACTCAACATCTTTTAGAAAATTTGCCTAGCACTATTATTTTCATCCATAAGGTTAACTCTTAAATTTGTTACATATATGGATGAAAATAATAGTGCTAGGTAAATTTTCTAAAAGATGTTGAGTTTTCCCTAATTAATTTGTCACTTAAAAAACATTAGGTAGGCATGTTATATATCAATGGAAAGGTAATTTTGTCTATTTTTCAAAACTGTATATAATTTTTGAAAATTAAAAAATTCGCGGAATACTTTTTTTAAAAAAAATTAAAAAATGTTTTTTATTCAGTTTTTGCGAAGATACAAATTTTTCAAATTGCAATAAAAATTTTATTTATGAATATTTTTTGATGAAATTTTACAGTTAGGTAGATTTTTTTACTCAAAATCCAAAATTAAATAAAAATTTCGAATTTTCTTATTAGAAATCCCGGAATTCCCAAAAAAGTTTTAAAAAATCCCAAAAATGGGATTTTTTGGTTTTTTGCCTATTATATCCATACCAGGGGCGGGGTTATCGAAACCCGTTACAAAATGATTAAGAACTTATTGGGTCATATAAAACAGGTCACTATAATTTGATATCGACTATGCGATTTGAGAATTTTTGCTCAAAATTTAATTTTCCATAAAAAATAGGGTTTTTTTGGATGGACCTGGTCCCCTCGGTATCAAAAATTTTTAGGTTTTGTTTCATTTATCGTATTTTATGTAAAGTCAGCTTTCCAAAAAGTATAAATTCTATATACATCTTCTTAGAAACTTTTTAGATAACTTAAAAAGAAAAAGATACTTTTTTCCCAAAAAAATGACAAAAAATCGCCTTTTTTTAATTTTTTAAATTTAAATGCCTATAACTTTGGACTCAGTCATGATTTTTACATAATTCTTTCACTGCTTGGTATATAAACTTGTTGTTAAGCAAATAAAAAAAAATGGCGAAAATCGGAAATATTTGGACCTGCTATTATCAAAAAAACTAAAGTAAGGACGGTAAAAATTTTAAAATTTTAATATTCAAATGCGAATATCTCCTAAACTATAAGAGATAATTTACTGCTACGACGACATTTTTTATAGTGCTCGATGAGGAGATTCTATATACGAAATTTTTTTTAAATCGGAACTCAAATGAAGAAATAGGATCGTTTTAAAAATTTAACATAGCCGAGGTGTCCTAATTTGAGGACCCCCCGCCGGGCCCCTGGTTGGCCTATAAGGTCCAAATTCAAAACATAAACTCGACAACACCTCCTCTTTGTGCATACCAAATTTCATTAAAATCGGATTAACCGTTTAGAAGTTACCGAATTATTTCCCTCTTTTTTTTTTCCTATACCACTGTGTAGCGTTCCTGTAGTAACAAACGCAATTTTTCAGCTTCTAACTGAGCAGAACATTTTGGAATTAAATGAAACACAAGGCAATTTAATTTCAAATACAGAAAGTTATTAAATTGGCACTAAAAACAGAAGCTTTCAAAAAGGAATGAAATAGAATTTAGTGGAACACTTCAAAATTTCAGTATATATACGATAAGAAGTGACTTAAGTTATAATAATTATCGTCCTTCAACTTCTAATTGAGAGGAACATTTTGGAATTAAGTAAAACATGCAGAAATTTAATTACAAACAGAGAAAATCATTAAATCTGCCCTATATTACAGAAATTTTCAAAGAGGAACAAAATGGAATTTAGTGAAACATCTAAAAATTTTATTATAAATGCCCAAAATATGACTTAAGATATAATAAACGTAATTTTCCGGATTATAATTGAGAATAACTTTATGGAATTAAGTGAAACAAGAGAAAATTCCACTTTAATTAAGAGGAACGTTTTGGAATAGAGAGAGATATAGAGAAATTTTATTGTCAATAGAGAAATTTATTAAAGAAGCCCTAGAAAATAGAATTTTTTAAGGAGAAACGAAATGGAATTTAGTGAAACACTTAAAAACTTCATTATATTTCACTTCAACAAAATTCACACTAAAAAGCAGACACTTTCAAAGAGAACGGCATGGAATTTAGTGGAACTCTTCAAAACTAAAGTAAACTTATATTTTGGGGAACTATTTGAAAAGGAATACATATTATGAACTAAGTTAAACGCTGAAATTTAGTTAAAATTGCAGCATTTTCTTTTAAATATTCACATGAAACAAATTTAAATTAATAGATTATTTTGCAAATTTGTTTTATTACGTTTATTTACTCCATGTTACGCGACATTTGTTGATAAGTTCAAGTCTAAGTTATAGCTTTTCTTTGACATACAAAAAATGTACGTCATTTCATATATGTACTATTCTTTTACCAACTGTTTAAATAGCAAGTATTGGTTTAGTTTTTGGTATTGTTTCAGGTTTTGCTATCAATACAAAGTAAATTTTGTAAATAAACATTGTCTATGTATAATTAACTAACAAACTGATGAAATTATATTTGTAAAATAAATATAGTACAAAAGAGAGTGAATGCACTTACCCTAGCTAATCTCCACATGCATTTCGTAGCAAAATTTTCACCAAAATCTCTCAATATAACATAGAAGATACAGTTTTTCGTTCCCGAACCCATGGTACTTTTATCCATGGAACCGCATATCAACTCCGAGTTGCGTATAATAACCCCTGCAAATAGATAGAGAAAAATTAGAAATTTTTATAATTTTTGTTTTATTCTCTCAAACTTACAAGAATCTTTAGCACATAAGTCATAATTGCCGGTATAATTTCTGCCTTTGGTGATTAAATTTACTTTAACAGGACACTTTTTATTGGGCTTAAGCAGTAAACTGAATATCTGTTTGCCGGTCCAAAGTTTACGTGGCTTGAGTATGGCTGGGGGAGGCATATCAATATGCATATTAGCATCGGGACCAGCTAAAAAGCAGGCTGCCAATTGCATAGCCTGTTCCCGGGTTAAAAATTCATCTTTTTGTGTCAGCAAATAACCGCCTGTAATGAAATCTTGTGTGGCTGCTATAAGAATTTCACCATTTTTGGGTGTCACCAAGTTAGACTTGTTGCCCATCAATATTAAGGCCTCCGCTCTAGCCTCCTCAGTCTGGGGCAAATGTAAATTCATTTCATCACCATCAAAATCAGCATTGTAAGGTGTACAAGCACACTCATTGAAACGGAAAGTTCTCTGTGGCTGCACCTTGGCTTGATGACACATAATGGACATTTTATGCAAAGAGGGCTGACGATTGAATAACACTATATCACCATCACATAAATGACGTTCCACAATATCGCCACATTTCAAATCATGAGCCACTTTATCACGATTACCATAGGCTAAGTATTTCTTAAATGTAGAACCCCTTTGCTGTACATAATTAGCTCCCGGATGAACATTGGGACCATTTTTAACTAATTCCTTCATTTTTTGTATATTAGCAGGATTAACACGCTCGGGATAGGTTAAAATTTTAGCTACTCTTTCTGGTACACCCACTTGATGTATCATAAGATTGGGATCAGGGGAAATGACGGTACGACCCGAAAAATCAACACGTTTACCCGAAAGATTACCGCGAAAACGACCCTGTTTACCCTTCAGACGTTGCACTAAACCGCGAGTGGTTTTTTTGGGAGCCATATTAAGGGGTATACCAGAAATTTCACTGTGAAAATAAAGAGCCACATGCAACTGCAGGAAGTCCCAATCCTCCTGTATTAACTCAATTTTACCGCCTCCTGTCATGTGTTTTTGTATGACATCATTAATGAGTAAAATTTCACTTTGTTTCATGGTCAAGTCATCTTCAGTGCTAAAAGGTATTATGAAATATTACTTTAGTATAATAAAAATGTTAAGAATTTTGTTGGTACTTACGTTCCTGCCTTAACTTCTGATACCACGGAAGGTCTTATGCATACAGGCGGCACAAATACTCTAGTCACTATTAGATTAGCGGGATTAGCTCCCTCACAAGTCATACCCAAGAGTGGTATATCACGTTTGGGTATACTTTTGAATAGCTCCAATACAGTTAAAGGATTCAATTCTTCCATGTGATTGTAATTAGGCAACATTTGATTTAATTCACGATTGTTGTCCGTAGCAGCTAGCAGTTCATCCAAATCTTTATTCATTAAAGCATCCTGTTTTTTGCCCTTATAGGGATCATGTAAAATCTTTAACAAACCCGGACCTTTTTTGACACCACCATTTATAGCCTCACAATTGGGACATTTTGTTTGTTTCTTAGCCTTGGTGAGGATCTGACCATGTAAAGCCTTTTTAGCCAGATAGGAGAAATTAGGATTTAGCAACTTTTTCTCAAAGATTTTCTTCTCGGACTCCTTGAGCATAACATGGGAACAGGATTTACAAATCATTTGCAATATATTAATAGTGGAGCGGAAATGACCAATGTGAAACACTGGCAGGGATAAATCTAAATAACCAAAATGTCCTATGCACTCATTCAAACCTTGACCACAAGTCTCGCAGCTGGAATCTTTGCTGCTGACACCCATGCGCCTATCCAAAACACCATAGGGCACGGGTTGTCGCTGTGCCTGGTAGAGATTTTTCGAAACAATACGCAAATGAGACTCCTGTTGTATCTCCTCTGGACTGCTAATACTAAATTGCACATGTGATCTAATAAGAAAAATTTCAATTAGCAAATTGCGTTTTAAATTTTTTTAAATTTCTTCAAATTTTTACATTTTCTTTATCACATCTGCTTCACGAAATTGTTCTTTAGGCATTTTTGTTATTTATTACACGATTTTTAATAAAATTTCACAAAAATTCACAAAATTTCACAGAAACTAAAAAATCTGTAACAATTTAAACGCGTGCTTAAACAAAACTGATTATGTTTATATTTTTTTAGAGGGAATTAGGGTGGCCGAGTTTGGTTATTATTAAGCGCAAAGTGTTTTGTTTACAAAAGGTCAAGGGAGAAGTTGGGAAATTTCTGGGAATTTTAATAAAAAACATTTTTAAAGTAAAAATGTTTGTTAAAAATAAGCAGTTGTTTATGTTTGGTCACATTTTTGTTTAAATTTTTTGAAATTTCCATTTAATTTAAACATTTTTAGAAATTTTGTTTATTGTGTTAATTTTTTATGTGTATTTTGGCAACTCTAAGGAATTTGCGCTCTCTTTGTTTATTTTCAAACACCGGTGATAAGGTGGCCATACTTTGTATAAAATGTGTTTATTTCAGCGATAATTTATTTAGTATTTCAGTTGGCATATAGTAACTCTTATAACTTATTTTATAAAATTTGATATTTTTATTAGATGTTCTTAGTATATTTTGTAAAATTTTGTTTAAAAACTCAAAATTCATATTTTTTAAAAACCTAATAAGATTTTCAAATAAATATTCAAAAATATATGTAACAGATATCCTCAAGTATTTCCTTTTTTAGGAAATTAAACTATATAATTTGTACAAATATGAATTTATGACACTTTGACTCATAGGTTTCAGGAATTCGGTGTTTTAAATATTTTTAGAAAAGCTATGACAAAGCTAAAATTTTTTCGATGTACTGTAGCCGCATACCTTAATACTAGGGTTCTATAGTTGAAACGAAAAGTCGACTTTTCGACTTTTTTCATTTTGTTAAAAGTCGACTTTTCGACTTTTTGCATTTTATGAAAAGTCGATTTTTCGACTTTTCGACTTTTTTCATCTAAATAAAAGTCGACTTTTAGACTTTTCGACTATAAGTATTTTATAAATAGTCGACTTTTCGACTTTTTCGACTTTCCGACATTTTTCGACTTTTTCCCACTTTTTTCGACTTTTCAATTTTTTCGACTTTTTGACTATTTTCGACTTCTTTCTACTTTTTTCCGACTATTTTTTGACTTTTTTCGAGTTTTTCCGACTATTTTAGAGTTTTTGACTTTTTTTTTCACTTTTTTAAAATTTTTGACTATTTTTGACTTGTTTCTACAATTTTCGATTTTTCGACTTTTTCCGACTTTTCGACTTTTTTCGACTTTTTACGACTTTTCGACTTTTTTTCGACTTTCTTCGACTTTTTTAGACTTATCGACTTTTTTCGACTTTCAGACTTTTCGGCTTTTTTCGACTTTTATTCACAAAGTCGACTTTTATTCACAAAGTCGACTTTTCGACTTTTTTCACAGACGATAGTCGAGTTATCGACTTTTTTGGAACAAAATAGTCGACTTCGACTTTTTTCGACAAAAAGTCGATTGTTCGGTTATTCGAAAGTCGATTTATAGAACCCTACTTAATACCAGACCTGGGATAAATGCATTAAATGTGTTAATGCATTAACAATTTTTTCTACATTAAAAAAAAATAATGTTAATGCAAGTTTATTGCATTAAGATTAACATGGGTACATTTAATGCATTAAATTTGCATTAACATTAAATATTTTTAAATTTAATGCATTAATTTTACATTAACATTAAATATTTGTGAAATTAATGCATTAATTTTGCATTAACATTAAATATTTTTGAATTTAATGCATTAATTTTTCATTAACATTAAATAATAAATAATAAAATTAATGCATTAATTTTCCATTAACATTAATGTATAAAATAATTTATAAAAATAAGAATACAGCGCTAAAGACCTCGGTCTAACTAAATTCAAGTAAAATTGAATGTGTTAAAGTCATTTCTAATAAGTCCTATACTCGATAATACATATTAGAAGAATAGTATCACTTCCCAGATATTCATTTTTTAGTTTATTTTGTTAAAGTCCTTTCGAATAAGTCCTATACACGATAATACTTATTAGAAGAATAGTATCACTTCCCAGATATTCCTTTTTTAGTTTATTTTGTCTGTGGAATCTTATATAAATATCATATTTAAAACACACAAGTTTGAATGGAATATAGGAGTTATTAGAAAGGACTTTAACCTATTTAATTTTAGTTGTATTTAGTTAGATCGAGGTCTTTTGTGCTGTATTTTTATTCATGTTTATCAATTTTTATATATATTAATGTTAATGGAATTTTAATGCATTAATTTTATTGCTTATTTAATGTTAATGTAAAATTAATGCACTAAATTCAGATATATTTAATGTTAATGCAAAATTAATGCATTAATTTCAAAAATATTTAATGTTAATGTAAAATTAATGCATTAAATTCAAAAATATTTAATGTTAATGGAAATTTAATGCATTAAATTTTACAAATTTAATGTTAATGCAATATTTTTTACATTAAATTAATTTTTTTTTAATTTAATGTTAATGCAAAATTAATGGAAATCGCCCAGGTCTGCTTAATACCCACTGATGAGTTATATGGGGGTAAATTCGTGAGTACGTTTTTTTTTTTTGTAGTTTTTTAAATTTTTCACATTTTTCTCAAGGAATTATACGTATCCTCGTATTACTAAAAATTTTGTATACTTGAGGAAAGCTGAAGTAATTTCCTACTTTAAAAACGGTGGCACATGTTCCTAATATTATTCGCAAAAAATCTAAAAAAAAATGTTTAAGTTTTAGATTTTTTTACACAAAAACTTGCAACAGTAAAATGGGTCATCTAAAATAAGGTAAAGTTAGTTCTACCGTGAGTTCCAATCACAAATTCGATTCATTACTCATCCATATAGGAATATCGTGCATTTTTTTGACAAAAATCTTAACCATGAGGCACAGGCAAAGCGCAAAAAAGTAATTGATAAATATGTGCGAAAAACATCGGAACATCAATTTCAAAATTAAGCAAAATTAAAGCGATTTTTATGATTTAATAAGAAACCGGCAACACTGCTATTAACATATGTGTTATTATTGTGATTGCTTTAATTGATTTGACATTTCATTATAGTAATTGTGAATGATTTTTATTTCTGCTATTGTGAGGTGTTTTTCGCCTGCGGCTGTAAAGATTACGCGACATCGAAAATTTTAGCAAATATTACGAAAACGAATAGAAAATTTTCGATTTATTTTGAAAAGTTATTTTAAAATCTTTACAAAACGCCTTACCTCGTTAAAGTTATCGAATTTGGTGAAAAAATGTTGCGTCAATTAACACGAGTCGGTCAACTGCCCCAAGTGGCTAAACAATTGCAAAAAGTAGGTGGTAGTAGTTGTCTTTTACTAACTAAAAAACATTTGCATGTTGTGTGTTGTTGTTCGTCTTCTCGTCAGGCACTAGTTGTGCCAAAAAATAAAAGTTTTCATCTAAATCTAAGTAATCCCAATCAAGGACGTTCTAAATCAAGCTCATTTTTCGGTTTATTCCAGAGTTCTGCTGTAGCCGGTACACAAAAATCCAATAATTATGCCACGGAAGCCACAGTGCAAGTGCAACGGGTAAGAATGAAAATTTCTATTTAAGGTTACATAATTTTCTTAACTTGGACATATTTTTCTTTAGTAAATTTTTCTTTATATTGCCAATTACAATTAGCTAAATGTTGTAAATTTTGAAAAAGGTTTTTTGTTGGAATTTGTTGTTATAATTATTGTCTGGAGTTTGTTTTTGTTAGTAAAAAAAACCATTATAAATATAACTTCAAGGTCATTTGTTTATATATCAGCTTAGATTTATTGTTGTTTTTTTCTACTACCCCCTAAGGGGCTGTTCATCCTCTCCCTGCTAGTTAAATAACTAATTTGCTTATCATATAACGGTTGTTTAGGGTTTGTTTATTTTTTCATAAAACGTCATTAATCAGGCGTTTATAACCTAAAAATCATGAAACCCCTTCATTTCAACCTCTTAAAAGAATTAAAATAAAATGTTTTACTTTGTAAAGGTTTAAAAAATTAAGAAAATTATAACAATGTTATCAATTTTCTTATCTCTCTAGTCAGGTGGGGATATTTTTAAAACTTTAATAGTATTTTTTGCTTTCTTTCTTATCGTCTAACATTTTGGCGTTTTTTGTTAATTTTTTTTTAAGAATTTGAGATTTTTAATTCAATTAAGTTTTGTTATTGTTTTTCATTTGTTTTGTTGAAGTGTACTAGGTCAATATTTGTTTATTTTGGGTTAAATTAAAAAAGTCATTGAACGCCTATAAAAAAATTGGCGGTTAATTTTTTTTTGAAAATGTTTAAATGTTTTACAATAATTTTCTTCATAAATTTGTTAAAATAAAGGTTTTTAAATTATTATTAACTGAACTGGAACTGAATTAGGGCTGAACTAGAACTGAATTAGAACTAGAACTGAATTAGAACTAGAACTGAACTGAACTAGAACTGAACTGAACTAGAACTGAACTAGAACTGAACTAGAACTGAACTAGAACTGAACTAGAACTGAACTAGAACTGAATTAGAACTGAACTAGAACTGAACTAGAACTGAACTAGAACTGAACTAGAACTGAACTAGATCTGAACTAGAACTGAACTAGAACTGAACTAGAACTGAACTAGAACTGAACTAGAACTGAACTAGAACTGAACTAGAACTGAACTAGAACTGAACTAGAACTGAACTAGAACTGAACTAGAACTGAACTAGAACTGAACTAGAACTGAACTAGAACTGAACTAGAACTGAACTAGAACTGAACTAGAACTGAACTAGAAACTGAACTAGAACTGAACTAGAACAGAACTAGAACTGAACTAGAACTGAACTAGAACTGAACTAGAACTGAACTAGAACTGAACTAGAACTGAACTAGAACTGAACTAGAACTGAACTAGAACTGAACTAGAACTGAACCAGAACTGAACCAGAACTGAACTAGAACTGAACTAGAACTGAACTAGAACTGAACTAGAACTGAACTAGAACTGAACTAGAACTGAACTAGAACTGAACTAGAACTGAACTAGAACTGAACTAGAACTGAACTAGAACTGAACTAGAACTG